ATTTTATTGAACTAAATATGCTTCTATGGAACAGAAAAAAAAATTAAATTCGACTTAGTGGTTTCCCTCAAAAAACAAAATAAGGTGAACTCCCATCTTGAGATATGAAATTTTAAGATTAAAATTATTTTAAAGGATTTGATCTCTATAATGTATATTGTCACATATATCACTGAGGAATGCAAATAAAATGAAGAGTGCTGATTTTCAGAGGGTTGCTGACTTTAACATACATATATGACACGTACAACCACAGATATTCATGACATTTACATGACAGAAAAATTTTACATTTTATGATATAGTACTCCCCTATTATCTACAGGGGATATGTTCCAAGAGCCCCAGCCTGAAACCTCAGATAATACCGAACCCTACATATACTGTTTTCTCCTACGCACACATATTTAAAATAAAGTTTAATTTATAAATTAGGCACAGTAAGAGATTAACACAAATAACTATTAATAGAACAATTTTAATATATGATAATAAAAATTATGTGAATGTGGTCTCTCTCAAAATACCTTATTGTACCCTTCTTGTGATGATGTGAGATACAATTCCCACATGATGAGATGAAGTGAGGTGAATGATGTAGGTGTTGCTATGCAGTGTTAAGCTACATTAAGGGTTACTTGAACACAGCACTGTGATACCTTGACAATCAATCCGATAACCTAGATGACTACTAAGTGTCTAACAAGTAGTGTATACAGCATAGATATGCTGGACAAAGGGATGATTCGCGTCCCAGGCAAGACAGAGCCAAATGGCATGAGATTTCATCATGCTACTTAGAATGAAGTGCAATTTTAAACTTGTGAATTGTTTTCTGGAATTTTCTATTTAATATTTTTGGATTGCAGTTGGCTGTGGGCAATAGAAACCACGATCAAGAGAGACTGCTGTATTATTCCTAAAATTCTTAATCTAAACATGGTTTCAAAAGGTTCTACTTGTTAGCTGTTTTTGCATAAAAAATATTTTTTTGCTTTGAGTCAGGTACCAAAAGAAGACTTTCTTTTTTTATGTATACAGAGACTTTTTATGTCTTTTAAATAGTTCTTCTTTGTACCCAATAATGAAACATAGGTAAATTCCAGGTTGCCTAGGGTAAAGCAAAAGGAAATCCAAACTTGCTACTTGTGGAAACTATGAACAAGCCTAAAATAGGGGAGGCATTATATTTATAACTTAAATTGTGACCCTAAAATGAAGAATTGTATAAGTAGCACATATCTGCTTTTCTGGTTGAAATATTGCCTAGATGTATATGAGCTTTGCCTACTTGTGTGGTCCTAGGATTGATGCTTCCTGTCTGACCTTTGAAGAAACCACACCATTAAAATTGTAGTTGCAGTTAGCTGCTGAGCAAGAGTTGTAATGAAGCTACCTACTGCAGTCCCCCACTACTGTGCTGAACAGATATTGCTATAAAACTATGTTGTTGCTATTTTAAAACTACGACCTACATTTCATATGCCATTTAGGCTTTTTTAAGACATTATACGATAACCTCATATTCTTAGTATGTTGTTTAAAATAAAGTAATTATAATTTTGAGGCCAGGCATTATATTCTTGGGATTAAGGGAAATAAAATTCTGAGATATTTAAGATGTATATAAGTTTTCAAGAAATTTATAAAGATAAAACTGTTAGTGAGATCATTTTAATTAAAGTGAGGTATGCTAGAGTAATTATTTCTTTATATTTTTAAAATCAAATATTATACAGTAAAGAATTCTCTCAAATAGATATATATTTTTTTTATTTAGCAAGAATGAAGGGAAAATTTTTGCAGCTATTTTTCTTTGTAAAACAAATAAGTATATGTATATATTTTATTTAGCATTTACTTTTAAGTAGATGATCTAAACTAATATTATACATGATATAGTTTAGAAATTATAAAAAAATACAGTAATATAAAATTACCATGGGTGCTTAAATCATGTGAAAAAGTCACTAAGCCACTGTGAACATTTCTTATATTTCAGAAAAATATCTTGTTTTAGTATTTATTAGTAGAAAACAACTCTGTGAAAGTTGAGTTGTGCAGAAGAAATATAATGGCATTGTTAATCATACAAATGCAGGATTGCATAAAATACTTTAACTGCTGGTATAGTCTATATCTTGTCTAAAATGTAATTTGGACTTTTAGAGATGGCTATGAAGTGCCAGTCATTATCTGTGATGAATAGTTTATATGATTTATAAAAATTAGTGTTTTCACTGCTAAAACATGGCATTAAATACTTTTCACTTTTTCCATAAGCTTCTTGGAGTTTTGTCTATTGCAAAAAAAAAAAAATCTTCACAAATCTACATAAAGAAAGAGAAGAAATCTTTAGATTCTAAGGTGGTAAGAAAACCACTTTATTTAAATCGTTTGTCATAATTATGGCTTCTCAAGGTGTTCAATGCACTGTTCAATACTGAAAACATCTAGACCTCACAAATTCAAGGTAAATTAGACATATAAGTTTACATTAGAGTTGATGAGGAAGTAATGAAATTTCATTGGCTGGGGGGACACTAGACTTTATACTCTTTAGGGATATCCTACTATTTAAAGAATTCTAGTATTTTTAAAGTCTAATTTTTCAATTACCTTCTTTCTATACATATTACATTATATATATGTGTCTATAATATAATATATATATGTATACACACACATACACACACAAACTCAGTCATTACATTCTCTATGATGTATAAAATTATTCCAATATAATGCATCTTTATTCCAGGGCTACTAGAATTCAAGCTGAGTCTCTGTAGGCCAGCTACTGTTTTAATATATAGGACTCTAGACAAGGGTAAGATTTGCTTTAGTATTTCAGGAAAACAAGTCATACTTTAGCATATGTTGGAACGAGATGTTCTTGTTAAAAAAATCTAGGGTATGTATTCTTAGTAAATTAAATAAGTTTATTTTACTTAAAAAAACAATACTATGGTATGTAAATGTTATTTATGGCTTTCTCTAATTGCTTATATGTTTTTTTATAATTACTGCATCAATAAAAATTTATTTCTATAAAATGATTTATTTCCTAAATAACCTATGGTCATCATAATTTATAATTTCAGTTACTAATAAACAGTACTACCACATCCTTGTTAAGAATCAGAGTCATCTAAACTTTGAATCTCAGATACCTTTCATTTTATCTCATTAATTATCATCTATGTTTTATAGAGTAGGAAACGAAGGATCACACATCTAATACATGGAGGGACCGGGATTCAAAACCAGGTCTTCCAATTTTAAGCCAGTATTCTCTCAGTGTTTTCCTTTTTTTCATGTCACTAAAATCTATGATTAAATAATCTTACAGAAAGCACAATATACTTTCTTAAACATATACTGAAAGATATCTGATAAAATGGGATTTGAACTTAGAATCCTAAAAACTTACTTGTTGGCTCATTACTTACCTATCTATTCATTCACTGAGCCAATAAGTATATATTGAGAGTTGCAGTGGGAATACCATGGTGTGCAAGACAGACAATATTCCTGCCCTCATACAACTTAAATTCTAGTGGGAAAAATAAATTATACATAACAAAATAAATTAAATGATAAATAATATTAATATGAAGCTGGCTACTTCATCACATGCTCAGTTAAAAAGCTTTGTAGCTCACTTAATGATATGGAAAAATCAAGATCTAAGAGCTACCTGAAGATGAACTCTAATATCAAATAAACGTCTATTAAAATGCTAAACAGAATATACTAGATGTATGCAAACATATATCTGTACAGATTCTAAATATATATGTATACAAATATAGAATATATAAAAAGATTATAGCCATGCTCAACAAAAGATAAATTACTTGAAAAAGTCTTCTCAAGTACCTCTCCGAAGTACTGTAGAAATTAAAACAATTGCTTCTCTTCTCAAGTCTATCCAGCACATATGTTCTATAATGGGATAAGATTTTCCATTTCAAGTACCAATGTGCAAACTATGCATTACTCTTTTAATTTCTTGTAGGTACTGAAGTTACATGTTCAAAACGGTTATAGTTGTTGAGCTGAACTTGTGTCAGGTCATTTTGTCCTGTTTAGTCCAAACTAGCATTAAACTATAAACATTTAGTGATGGATGAATTTTTTTTTTTTGATCTTTTGACCTTAAAAGGGATTTGAGGTTGATGACAGATTGATGTTTAATTAATCGAAATGTTTCTCAAAACAAAAACATCTGAAGGCAGATTTTAAACATGTAAATAGATGTTTACTCCATTTTGTAAGTAATGGGATTATTTCAATCTTGATTTTTAATTTACCATGCAGTCCCATTATTAAACAGAGCTGTTTAAAGTAACCTTTCCTTAGAAAAAGACCAAGCTTAATTTAAAAGCCTTATCTTTGCAGAAATCCTTTATCAATATATTTTAGAATGATGCTGTTATAAAAACCTAGGAATTAAGGGACAGGATCCGAGATCGGAGGCTATAGAATAAAGATTTAGGAGTACATATCAAAGTTGAAGGGACAATGCTGTTCACAGTCTAGTGAATGTGAAAATTTGTTGGATTTTCAGTTTCTGGGTGAAATGAGATATTCGTGAAGTACAAAATGGCTGCTGCATTTTGCTGTGAGTAATAAACTGTTTCTCTAATCCAGAAAGCCTCATGTCTTTTTTCAGAATATGTATGTAAAATAATGGTAGACTAATTTGTTAATTTGCAAATAAGGCATCAACTTTGATCCTTTATACTTTCTAACCTAACAATGTACACATGCATACTTCAAAACAATCTCAAGATTGTTTTATAGGAGCTTCTTTTATATGCAGTTAATCAAAATTAGATAAATTGCTATAACATTTTTGGGCAGTAAAAATAAAGCAGCCTATTTTTCAAGGTATAGAAAGGGGCTATCAGAATGTAAACAAGTAGAAATTATCCATCCATACTCTTGAAATGGGTATTTTTCTCAAAAATTCTCAGGAATCCATATAACCAGGATAACTCAAAATTCAACATTTATTAAGTATATACTATGTGCATATGTTACACTGGCAAAGTAAGGAAAAGTGGGCAATGTGAGAAAAGTATTGCATTAAAAGGGCATGGTAGTTCACACTCTTTTGAAAGACATAAATAATATGAGGTGATAAAAAAGGTTAAGATAATAGGGGTATCAGAAATCAATTACGAAAAATTATTTTTGAAAAAGGGGAGATGAAATATTTGGGGAGAGAGGAAAATTAATTGAAATGAGGCTGGAGACTAACATTGAATATCCAGAATATTGGGGGGAAAGTAGGAAACTTTATAATGGGTTATCCTTGCCATGTTATAAGGCACCTTATTCAGGAGGATCAATTCTTAGGGCTTGGTTATCAGATGAACTAACTATTGTTTTTTGTTTTTTTTGTTTTAATTCATATATGCTATCAGTCTTCCAGGACCGTAGAAGTTCTCATCAAGAATTAGTCATTCTAATCATTGTTTTCACACACTATGGAAATGATTAAAATAAACCTGTTAAACAGATTTAAAATAAAGAATTTCAAGTTTTACTAAGTAATACTTATCATTTTAAGGTAAGAAATAATAGAAATTTCATTAGGAAGATTTTTATTAAATTATAGTATCTTACAGTTTATGTCCTAATAGTAAGATTTTACTGTCTAGAGTAATGTGATATAAAAACCTACTTGGCCATATTACTTCTTGAGTTTCTTTTGGGCAGCTTTCTTCTTGACCATCTGTAATCGCTTCATGGCATTGAGTTGTGATTCTTGAGAAGTTGGGCCTTTAAGGGACGTTGAGGGAGAGCCGCTCGATTCTGAAGTGGTTTTGCTGGTGGTACTTCCACTAGGCCCTGAGGTCCCACTATTACCATTCCCACTTAGTTGGCTGCTGCCTCCTGGAACTAAACTACTTGGACTTGGAAGACCTACTTTGCTAACATTGTCACAACTAACTGAGCGACTAAGGCCAGTTTTGCCCAAAGTTAGAGGTGGAGGTGGTTTCAATGGTACAGTGGGTGAAGTGTTGTTACTGGAACCCATTTTAGAACCTATTCCACCTTTGGATGATGTTGCCAGACCAGTCAAACCCACAGGCTTTTGGTTAGCTGATGAGGTAGCAGGTTTCCCACTATTGTTTTGGGTTGTTGAACTCAATTTTGCTGTTGATGGACCAGCAGAAGAAGTTTTGGCTCCAAAAGCTGCCCATCCAGTTAGGCCACTAGTTACTGAAGAGGAAACACTGGTACTAGAAGAATTTCCTGAAATAACTGCAGATGTCTTTTAAAACAAAAAAGATAAATATTACATTAGAGCCAAGTATAATTAACACCTAACATAATATTCTGAAATATAAAAAAAATTAATTTTTGGATTTTTTAATACAAAAGTAATGACTTGGGGAATTCATGCCACCAAAATTAAGTTTGTATGAAACTGGTCTAAAAAACACATATAACAAAACTTATCCATAGCTAATGGGTGCTATCATTTCCAAAGCAGAAATTTTGGGATCCCATATTCTTGTTCTAATGATTCCAAAACAGAAATATGGAATTCCTTTTTGAGAATTGCTTTTAGATTTAGTTTTAATGCTTTAACTTGTTTTCACCCCAAAAGGTATTATCTAGTTCAGTAAGGCATCTAATTCTTTCAGCTTTGCTCCAAATGACTTGCTGATAATTTCAAAAATAGAATTCACTCTTAATGGACAAAATTGTTCACACACAGGAAATTTAGATGTCTGAGATAGAGAGTCACTCAGTAATTACTTATTGAGTGAATGTATGAGATTCTAAACCCATTAAAAAAAAGTTCCCCTCAAATTTTGAGCAAATAGCTACTGCACTGCAAAATATACACAGATGGGCAATGTTAACTACTTGAATTTGTATAACTCTGAGTGATATATTTAAAAAGTCTCCTGACTTTATTTTCAAAATTTGTCCATGTTTCCACTGAAACTGTCACACGAGAGATCCCTGCTTCTGTAGAAAGGATTTTATAAACTACCTTATAAGCTGCACAATGACATTTTAGGTAGGTCTGACTCATTCTTAGACGTATTTCTTAAAGGTTAACACTTCAATTTCTCCAATTAACTTCCTCAGCCAGTCAAAAGCTAACAGTGATATCAATGTCACTATAAATAAATATTGTTCTTATTTGCACAAAAATAAATATTTTCACCTTCACATTCAGCAAAAATGCACTTTGTTCAAATTAAATATGAATTGACCTTTTTCATTGGCATTCTTTCTACTTTCATATGCTTAAGAAGATTCACAAAAGTGTTAAATTCACACAGAGGTAAAAGATAAAGCATTACAAACAGTACTTACTTAAATATATGGTAGTTAACATACCTAAAATATTCAGTTATATTTTAGAACTGAACTCTGAAGAGTTGATAAAAATCATTTTCAGAATATTTTAGAATATATTCAGTTATATTTTAGAACTGAACTCTGAAGAGTTGATAAAAATCATTTTCATTCTTACAAAGTAGCCTTTGTTACTGTCTGCATGTAAACATTTTTAACTAGTGTGAAAAGTAATAAAAATAGAGTGCTCTGAGCTCCTTATTTTTTATGAGGAGGAGTCCAGACTTTTGTTCATATATTCTGAAAATTATAGGGTTTTTTTATGAACACATCATATAGTAACTACCTCATAAGGTTATCCAGAGAAGATAAACTATATAAATTATAAATTCCTAGAGGAATGCATACCGATACTGAGAAAAGGTTAGTCAAGGAAGCAAAAGGACACAGGTGCAGTCAACTTTCAATTTTCAGTTATGAAAGATATAATTTTTTTCCTTTTCTTTCTATTAAACATAAAACTGTCTGCCATACGGCTAAATGATCTTTCAATAGACTTCACAAAAGAAAACTCCTCTAAAGTAATTAAAAAGACCAACACTTAGGAAGTACAAATGAAAAAGCAAATTCTGTGTGTATGGCATTTCATTTTAATGGCTTGCTGTTGCTTGCTTGCTTTTCAACAAAATGACAGATGGCCTGTAATACTATCAGGACACACAAAAGTAAAATAACACAAACAATGGCAACCAAGTAATTTCTTACTACTTTAGTGTAGAAAATAAATTTCTCAACTGTTTTTAACTATAAAAAGTTTCTTGCTCATTATCTTAGTTTTTTAGAAAGTCATTTGCTTTTTTTTTCATAGTAACCATTTATCTGCTTTTATCATAGAAATATCAAAACCTCTAAAATAGGGCAAACATGACAGCCAAGGCCTTAATTTATTGCCATAAAATGATTTCATGTTGGATTTCCCAGAGATAAACTTTAGTAGTAACAGGTTAGTATAAAAGTCTATCTAAAAGTGACTTAAGTATGGAATACAACAACTCTAATTACTTTCAATAAATTATTCTTACTTCTAATCCAATTCACCAAGTTTCTATATGATAAAATAATGGATATCCCTTGGATATAAACTCCTATTTAGTAAATTAAATTTAAAAAAGTGATCTGCAAAAAAAAATATCAATATCTTTCTCAGAGTACTTTATAATCACATTTTTTATCATCATTCCAAGCTTCTTGATCTTTGGTACTTATAATCCCCTAGACAAGATAATATTTTTAGAATTTTCTGGGGTTAACCTTTGAGAATTTGAGGCTAATATTCTTTTCTTCTATCTTTAGTAATTTGCTTAAAATTGGAATGTATTACTCAGCAAAAGCATTCTTTTGTTATAGAATTAGACTAGAAAAATATTTTATTCCATGATCTCAAAATGCCATGATATTAATAATCATGTAGTGTGAATTCAAGGATATAAACCTAGGAATTAAAGGTGATATTCTTACTTGATAATCTGGCCCCTTAGTATAAGAGGTAGGTAGGTACCAAAAATGTTCGTGATAATAAAAGAAAAAAAATAAGACAAAGCAAGAAAACTTCTTCAGTAGCCAATATGTAGGGAGATAAAAGCTACAGGGTCAATTAGCACATGTAATGTGAGTAGCAAAATTGTTTCTACTGAGGGCAGGGTGATTTAGACTTTAAAGCAAATTCCTGATGGAGGTAAGTGTCTGACTACATAGGAATGATAAAGAATGTCATCTTGGCACGTTTCTAATTGTGATAAGAGAAATAGCAGAAATTAAATAGAGATTAAACAATTATATAAATGTTTCCTTTCTACCTAGTGTTAAAAGTAATACGAACTTAATTTCCAACATAGAGCCATTTAGTATATTAATTTTTTCTCAAGTAAGTTGTTTAGTCAACTAAATTAAAATCCAGTCTTAGATAAAAATAAAATATACTGTACCTTGACTTCTGTTCTCTTAAATGCCTGAAAAGTCGTCTCTTGTTTGAGTTTAGTTTCTGGTTTCTTAACCAATGGATCTTTGACAGCAGGGGCTACAGAAACAACAGCGGGAGCTGGTTTCTGTGGCGGTTTCTGAGTTTTTTGAGCCTGTAAAAATCAGTGTTAAGATTAAACTAACTACAAAATCTTAGTTGAATGAACCAAAAAAGACAATAAAAAATCTATCACAGTACTCCTCATTGAGTTGAAATATAGTTGAACATTTAAAGATACTGTGATAACACTAAAAATGTAGACACAGACCAATTATTTTTATCACCATATTAATGCTTTTATACATTTTATAACTTTCTAAACAGTAAATATGAAGCTTTAGAAATCACGCAGATTAGGGTTGATTAAATACAATTTTAACAAGACAAATCAAGTTTTCTTTTTTCTAAAGGAAAATCACAAAATATTTGTAACCAGTTAGCTTCACTTGCAATGAAGTGTGTTTATTTCTTATTACGATTGGGCAAATACTTAGGAGTTTTCTTCATGGGGTTCAAGTATAAGTGTCTGAGTAACTGAATGAGTGAAAAGACAGTTCAGATCAATTACATGGTTTTAAATATAGAATGCGGAGAAAAAAATATTAGAGATAAGATGAAACTTTTTGAGGTTTCTTCCACACTGTAGAACTAGGTACACTGAAGTTCACAAATACAAATTTCTATGTTATCAAAGAAGAATTTGTATCCATTGTCCCTTTACAAGTAAGGCAGCAATCACAAACACCACATATTTCCAAATGCTACTGAGTAGGTGGGTAATTATCTTAGATTGAGAACCACTGCAATAAGTCATACGAGTCTCTTACCTAGCGCTGGGGCAAAATTCATTGATAGAAAGAAAATGATAGAGCTAAAGAATGACCTAGAACCTTGCCACACACTATCACAATATTCTTATCTAGGATGATGATGATGATGATGATGATAATAATAATAATAATAATAATAATAAAAAATACTGCAGAACCTGCCCTCATTGGAAATGTTAGTGCAAGGAGTAAGGGAATATAAGATGCTATGTACAATATCTTTGAGATACCTTGACACAATAACCAGTGTATATATGAGGACCTCACTGAAAGCAGTTATAGCTAGAATGACTAGTTTTAGCATCCCCACCGTTTTCAAATTCCTTTCTCTCATAAATCTTATGTTACTGATTCCTGATCTTCAGGCTCACTTCAGATCATGCCTTTTGTTATTTCACCAGGTCTACTTTTGGTGTATTCTAATCACGTTCTAACATCAGTCATGACTCTCCATTCAGTACTTTGACTCTCGAACACACAGACTAAACTTATTGACTGTTCATCTCTGGCACTAATCCATATTTCCTCCATTTTATATATCTTAAAATGAAAACAACAAAATATAGAATATGTCTAGTTTGGAGCTCTGCTCTAGTGGTCTTATTGATAAGTGAGTTAGACATTTAATCTGCAAAGATGATAAAGAATAAAAGGTATCCCAGATAAAGGGAAACTGAGAAGCAGAACATTTGGGAACATGAAAGTTCAGCACATATTCAAAGAATAATACACATAATCTGGCATGGCCAGAATTTATGGCGTAATGATGAAGTGATGGGAGAAAGGTACAAAGACAGACCTGGGTCAAAGAGAGAAGGTCCATGTACTCTAATGAGTATAACTTCATTCTATCAGTAATTGAGAGCCACTGGGAATATTTAAACGGATAAAGTTAGATAAATATTTTAGAAGCATAATTCTAATTTTTTCAAATTATAATGAGTAAAGTGGATTGAAGAGAAGCAAGGAGACACTTTAAGAGGCTAAAGCAATAGACAAGAAATGAGAGATCTGTGGAACAAAATGAACAAATATGAGAAATATATAAGTAGTAGCATTAAAAATTTGGCAAACAGCAGGATATGGAATTAAGAGAGGTATAAAGGATAATGTTTTCTAGTTCAGGCAATTAAAAGAAAAACTGAGTGGAGGACAATTTTAATTTTAAAGATACTGAACTTAAAGTAACTGTAGGATATCTGGTCAGCTGCCAAAATTCACTCCAGAAAGAGAAAACTATAAATATAGACTTGGCGTAAACTAAGTCACAAAAATGGGGGAGAAAAAACTTAGGAGAGAAAAATGCTTACTTTATTAAGAGAATTACAGTGAAATAATAATAAAACATTGAACATATACTAAAGACAGGTTATTGTCATAAATTATTTGACTATTATCATTTATATCATTTATTAGTGACTTCTGTCAATTTCTTTGAATGTACTATATTGCTCACCCATACTCATACTCATTTTGATTGAGGTCCTGAAGGGCTAGTTTAAAAAATAAACAAATAAAAATCAGACTGAGCAGAAATATTGTACCTTGTCACAGACATTTCCAGTTAAAAACAGAAAGTATACCTACTACTAAAATTTTAATACTTTTCATAGGTATAAATGAAAACATTTCTTATTCTGATTAACTGACTAAAAAGTAAAATGGATCTCGATTTTTCATTTTTAACTGTACTCTTGATTTAGAAAAATATATTTGGTCAGAAATATTTATGTGAAAATTCATTTGATTAACAGGTAGGAGAACTCTTTTATTAACAGTTCCTACTCTAAAGTAGGTGAGCGGGGATGCAGGAATCAAACAAGTCATTGAAGTAAATAACGACTTGATTTCTTTAAAATGAAAATGATGAAATTTATTTATCTACTTTTTAAATGAATAAAAGGTAGAAAACTAGTATAGAAAACATGTTTCAGTATGAAATTGAAGGTAGTTATGTTAGTGAGCAGGAAACAGAGCAAGTACACTGAGAAAATAGGATAAGTGGTAACTCGAAGGCAACGAGAAGACTGAGGAACAGAGAAACACAGATGGAAAGACCGAGATGCACATATGAACACTGCCTTTGTACGCAACTGTAAGTTTGGTGGTTTAAGCTCACTCAGGAATAAACATTTTCAATATTTCCTTATCAGACTCATCAAAGACTAGGACTTTGTATCTTACCACTTCTCACAGTGCATTACAGTATTTTTAAATGTTTAGAAATACATTGACATACTAGTAAAAAATATTTATGTTTTTTGGGTCTCCAATCCTGTTTATTTATCTATATTAGATTAAGCTAAAAGCTGAACAGAGAAAAATGCATATAGCACAGTCTGGTCTTTAGGTATAGACACATAAATCACACAAATACATTATATGAACAAACATTTAAATAATCAGCTTGTATAATTTATTTTTTCAATATCTTAATAGTTCAAATTATTATTTTGAAAAGCACACATCTACAAAAATATTGACAGAGAGTGTTTAAAATACAGAAAAATGATTCCTACCATTCTTTTCATTTGTCTGGTACATCGAGCACAATACCACACAAGGCGAGGGTCATTCACCTCCTTGTCTGTCACCTGGGGCTTATGGCAATCTTGGTGGTAGAGATTATGGCACTCTTGACATTCTACTAATTGATTACCAGATGCTACTGTCATTTGCCTAGGAAAATATACCATTAAACATTGCACTTATATGACTCCATGCAACAATTTAAAGCTATTTTAGGGTTGATTGGTAAATTTGATATATTAAAAAGGGCAAAAACCCCAGAAAACTAAAAAGCAAAACAACAAACACCAACATGTATTCTGTACAAACACTTCATTTCTTTTAAAGCTTAAGCTCAGCCATTAATAAATATATAAGGTGCCTTATATATTTGCCTTAACTAAATTTGGCTATATTCTCTTTGTCATTTCTCATTATAAATTTTTTCCTTCTCCAAACGGTAGACTTTAGCTAATACCCCACAGTCACATAACATCTTCTTTGTACTCTATTAAATTCCTTTATATTTGTTACCTACATGTTGCGCTATCTTCTTCATTAACATATGAATTGCCTCAAGGTGGGAATTAGACCTAATTATCCACAAACAGTGCCTAACACATTACTGTGAAGATACAGGGTGTTCATTAAATAAATGTCTTATCAACTTAATAGAATGTAGCAATACATATATCAAAAAACTATAAATTCCAAAAAGCAACCACTACAATCTTAAGACTATCATAATAAGTATCCTGATGGAGAGCTACGGTTACTAGTTCGCTCTCCATTATTACTTTACCATTTATTTAAAAATGATAAACTTCATGGTAACTAAAGGTTGAAAAAAATATATGTGAAAACAATGAAGCTCTAACAGTTGATCCAGTTCAGAAGTACATATAACACTGTCTGGTCTTTATAAAGTTAAAAGTGTGTTTATTCAGCTCCAGTGCACCAGAACCTAACATTTTCATGAAGAAAACTGCAACAAAGATTACAATCTTTTCTGTTGTGCTAGGCAGTAGAAGCCATTAACGATGAAAAAAGTAGCCCGTGGCATAGAGGAGTTTAAAGTCTAGTCATTCTGATTTTTAAAAAATTTAATTAAATTTATTGAGGTAATGTTGGTTAATAACGTTATATAAGTTTCAGGTGTGCAACCCAGCAGACCCTCTTCTGAGTATCTACTCAAGAAATTGAAAATATTATCCTGTTTTCAATTGTCTGAACTGAATAAATACATAAAGATATTTGAACTGCTATGGTCACAGTCATTCTCATTTTTAAAATGCATCTTCTACTAAGCAAAATTATCTATGTTTTTATAATTACGTATCCATGTTTTAAAACTACACTCAGAATAACCTACATGATCCATTTCATTTCCAATATCCTAGGAAAAGATTCAATGGTGTTTTAGGAAATGATATATAATAGTTTATAAGTACTATCAATCACTCAGGGAGGAAAAAAGCAACACAGACTTCCTCAAAAGAATGATGGAAGAAATTGAGTTTGTTAAACAGACTCTTCCACACTAAAGAATAAAGCAATAATCGTTTTCTCTCTAGAACATAAGAATGCAGAAAATATTACAACACAACAGATTAAAGATACAACAATATGGAAGATAAAATATTTGACAATTTTCAAGATGTTCAATTGCTATATGGGAAGTTTGCAGGTAATCTACTTATCGCCTACCCACCTGCAAATAAAAACAAAATTAAACACCCAATAATTGGTCTAATTTTTTTCAGTTGTTTACTCTTTACAAAGAAACAAAAGAGTCTGTGGCAAGGTACAACTTACCTACAAACAACACAGGCTAATCCCATTTCCATGGCAAAATCATCAGCACTGGTCTCCTCAAAACTGGAAAGGTCAGCCATAGCTAAATCCTTGCTGGTTTGGACCGTAATGGGAGAGGACCGTGCTTCTGGTTTCTCTAATCTAGGTTTCTTTGGAATATCCACTCCTTCGGTGATGTCTGATTTCATCTATAAAAAGCACCCAATCAGAAAGTAATGTGTTATAATAAACTTTAAATCACTGAGAGAGAGAGAAGATGGACAGTGCGCATTGACCAAGTCTACCAAACAGACACTTTCACAGAGTTAGGGACAGATGTGTGCAGTAAAGATCTGTAGAAGATTTATAATGAATTCATAATCAGTATGTTAAAAAAACCTAGCAAAGTAAAAATAAATAAATCAGAACAGTTTAGCATGTATCTGTATTTCTCTTTGGACTTTTTTATCCATTAAAGTATTCCGGAAATCCAATGGATTTATATTGCCCCTTTTTTAAACCCTGTCAGATGCTTTGACTTGAGAAGACACATCATTAATAAGGCTATTTTTAAAGGCTATTTTCTTTTTATTTTAAATATTTTAAATTATGAACTACTGATATTTAAAATAGATTGTAAAGAAGTAAATAAAGACAACAGATTGCCATATTTCCTTCAAAGTAAATTCTCTCTCCTGTATTTAAAATATAAATGTTGTAGATATATTTATCAGATTGGCAAAAATTAAATAGTCTGATAAGACACAGAGAATTTAAAATTCTTATACCTTATTGGTGAGAGTATACATTTAGTACACACACTTTGGATAGTAATTTGCCTAGTAATGTTTAAGATACCTATCCTATTAAATCTACTTACAGGTATACATTCTATAGAAACTACCATCATGTGTGTATAGAGATAGGTAAAAGCAGCTTACTGAATCTCCATTATAATAAGAATAATTGCTCATCAGTTGGGGAATTATATGATAGCTGAAAGTAATATTCAGACCTACATGTATCAACATAGGTAAATTTCAAAAGCACATTATTGAGTGGGGAAAAAGTAAGTTACCAAAGGATGGATGGATATATATAGATATACACACACACAGACATATACACATATATATGTATACAATATGACACCATTTATATAAGTTTAAAAGCACAAAAAGCAATACAATATGGTTTATGAATAAGTAATATTTAGAAAAAGTATGAAAACATATGGGACTTATATACCCCACTTTGAGGTATAATAACCTTTGGAGAGCAGGGGTTATTAAAATTTTTTTGAAAATATAGTCACTACTAAGTGCTAAAATCTTAAAAATTGACTATGTGCTAAAATCATTCAAAACATATAATCCAAGAATTATTTTAGCCCTGTTAAGGTATACACTATTTTGTAACAAATTTCATGTTTAGTCATTTCATCTTTATTCATTATTTATTTTTCCTTTACTCTTTATTTTTTCCTCTTATTCGCAACAACTGTTCCATCTAGAATATTTGAGTTATGAATTCAAGTTTATGCTTCAAACTCCCTAGGGCTCAAATATCTGTTGATGATGACTTCAATAAATGATTAAAAAATGTTTCTAAATTTTACTAATTTTTCAAAAAAATCAACGTCTACAATTATCAAAATATATTTACTGAATGACTATTATGTACTTTTAATACACTATTACATAAAAGAAATAAGCACAAAACATTGTTTCTGCCTATAAAGGACTGATTTATTTAATTTTTTTACTAGATTAAAATGAACTCTTACTTTATCAGCAGGTCTCTTTTCAGCTTCCTTCTTCACCTTTTCAGTTGTGAGAACCTTGCCATTATTATTGCCAGAAGGAAGACTGGAAGATGTTTTGGGCTCTTGCTTAACGGAAATAGTTTTTGTGCTTGTAATTTTGGGTGGCTCCACATCCTAAAAGGTGAAATAAAAGGATACCTATAATTAAATATTCAGACCAATACATCGTAAAAAAAATAGATCATAAACAATTTTTAGTTAAAAATTAAGACATCATGTTGTGACCAGTATATCCTTTTCTTTAAACAGATTTACTGAGAAATAATTTAAATAATTTAAAGTATAAAATGTTGTAAGTTTCACCACATGGTTTCACCCCTGTAAAACTATCACTACAATCAATATCATTATTCTCCAAAGTTTCCTGCGGCCCTTTGTAATCACTCTTAGAAGCACACATCCTATAGAAACTATTTCTCCTCATCCTCAGCCATCATTGACCTGCTTTCTGTAATTATGAATTAGCTTGCAATTCCTAGAAATTTATATAAGTGGAATTATACAGTAGGTGCTATTTTTTGTCTGGCTTCTTTCACTAACCTATTAATTTTGAGATTCATTTACGTTGTTGAGTGTATTAACAATTCATTTCTTATATTGCTGAACAATACTCCATTGAGTGGATGGATATGCCATATTTGTTTATCCATTTTACCTATTGATGGACATTTGGGTTATATACTGTTTGGGGCTATTACAAATAACACTGTTATGAACATTTGTGTACAAGTCTTCATATAAGCATATATTTTCATTTCTCTAGAATAAATGTCTCAGAGTAGAATGGCTAAATCATGTGGTAGGTGTGTTTTTAGCTATTTAAGAAACTACCAAACCATGTTCCAAAGTGATATGCCATTTTATATTTCTACCAGGGGTACATGAGAGTCCCGAGTTCCTTCACGTCCTTATCAACACTTGGCGTGGCTAATTTTTTTTAATTTTAGACATTCTAATAGGTATATTATTGTGAACTTAATCTACATCTCCCTAATGACTAATGATGTTGAACATTTTTTCAAGTCCTTATTTGCCATACATATATCTTCTTGGCAAAGTGTTTGTTAAAATTATTTGCCCATTTTTAAAAATGTTTTTTGTTGTTGTTGTTGTTGTTTTATTATTGAGTCTAAAGAGTTCTTCATAGATTCTGGACATAAGTTCTTTATCAGGCATATGATTTACAAATATTTTCTCCCAGTTGGTGGCTTGTCTTTTCATTCTGTTTTAAACTTCGAATTCTTGCTCGTGTGTGTATACTTATTACCTATTATTATATTGTTATAAACAGTATAAAAAGTTTATGTATATAGTAGGTCCTTGGGCTCCCACCCCACCCTGCAAAGGAGAGCATTTCCCTACTGTTCTAAATAAAAATTTGAGTGCAGTCTATTTTTCTATGAAACACATAAAAATTTAAAAATATAAATGAGAAAACTATACATCACCTTCAGAATAGTGACCTCTCTGAGAAGGAAGAGAAGGGGATAGAGTGAGAAATGGGCTTGAGACTTATTGGTAGTAGGGCTTGATTTACTATTGTGTTGATTGTCTAGAATGAGGATTGGCAAACTGAGGCCTGTAGGCCAACTCTGGCCTACTGCATGTTTTTATAAATAAAGTTATATTATAATATAGTAATACTCACTCAATTATATATCATCTATGGCTGTCTTCATGCTATCACGGCAGGATTAGATAGTTGTGACAAAGACCACCTGGCCCACAACACTTAAAAAATTTACTATTTCATTCTTTTCAGAAAGTTTGGTGACCACTCATGTAGACTTAGGAAAGTGATGGGGAAAATGTTAACAATGAAGATCAAACTTAAAAGTGTATTGTGTCTGTAACATAAAAAATTGAAGACACAGTCTCACAATGTTTGAAAACTATTATGTAATTCAGCAAAGAAGCAGCTCAAGTCATCGATAGATGAGTTGAGTTCTAATTCCATTATTTCACATTTGACTCACTCATTGATGAAAATGAAAATATCAACCAATTTTTATGTTGGAACTACATTCAAAGAGCTGGCTGTTAGTGTTTACAAGCACACCACTGTTTCCAGGTGGCTCTTATGCATGCTAAAGTTTGAAAAACACTGGTATAAATCATTCTCACAATTCTAGAAATGGAAATGTTCAGCTGAAGGCTAAAATTAAATGAACCTGTGCTTTTTAAATACCTCCCAGAATATCTTCTCTGGCTAAGAAAGAGAAGTAACTTCCAGTTAGAAACCTAGGGGCAGCATGCTTTTAAATCACAACAAATTTTTTATATACTTTAACAGATGAACTTTCTTTTGTTTTAGAATCTCAAAATGCTGCTTCTTAAGTAATATTAGGTTTTTCTTATTTGGACAATACTAATACCAAGAGCAGAATGAACTTGGTAGTGTGTTTCATAGAGTTGTAGTAATTTGGTTGGTTTGAACTCACTGAACCTATCAGAATGAGAATGGTAGAAAAAAAGAGATCATAATGACTCTAATAGTCGATAAACAATAGAAAATCTTGAGAATATTAGAGCTAATGTTAAAATAAGACTGGGGGCAAAATATCACTGTTTACTTGAGGGCTGAGCTTGACATGTGGCCGTGTTTTGAGCTTGAAATTATGGATTAGACTGAGCTAGTCACACAGTTCTGTCTTCTCCTTTTTGGTTTGGTATCTAGGTCCACAGAACTGGGTGAGCTAGAGCTTTAGAAAGTTTTGAAAGAACGTCTTAGACGGTATTAGAGAATATAATAATAAGAGCTGTCCTTCTATTGTTTACCATGTATATACTACACTAGGTGACTTATATACTTTATCTCTTTTAATTTTAACAACTTTGCAAAGTATGTCTTATTATCCCATTGTACTAATAAAGAAACAGAGGCTGGGTGAAATGAAGCTATTATGTGCCTCTGTTTCCTTATTGTAAAATGAGGGAAATAAATAAGACTTATCTCAAAGTACTGTTATTACAATTAAAATGAATTATTTGCATCTACCACTTAGAAAAGTATCTGGGACACAGTAAATGTTCAGGATATGTCATCTATTACCACACAACTAGTAAGAGATAAACTGGGATTTAAAACAGGTGTTCTGGTTCCAAAATGTCTACTTTTTCACATAAAGCTGCTTGGTCACTTTGTATTATTGGGATAGGGGGTTATGCAGTTGTCATAATTTATCTATTTCCTCCTTAAATTATCCCATACATACTCGATTCACTTTGTTGCAAAATTCCTGTCCTTCTACTTCAAAACATTAGAAAATAATTACAAGTTACAGTTTTATTCAGCAGCTTAAATAAAAACATTCTGATCATAAAGAATTTGAAATTAAAATATATCGTAAATAAGTGGGTTTCTATACACATAAAGTAGTTGAACAGAATATCCTCCACTGTTATACTACTTAGTTAAAAAAGTGTATAGAAAGTGTATAGTGTATACTACTTAGTTAGAAAAGTAGTATAACAGTTCTCTAAAAGCTTGAGGGAAGAAAAGCAAATTAAAGAATATAATTTCTTCATGCCACAGGAAAGATTATTTTGGCAGAGAGACTGTTTTGAGATGGCCTAAATGTTAACACTGTACTACTACAGGCTTTACAAAATTCCCTCCAAGCTTTTTTATTCACATAGATACCTTTGGGGAAGGACGGTAACTTGAATCAATGCCCCGAGCCAAAGATTCATCAAGTAACGCTTTTAGCTTTTCAGCAGAATCCTTACTCTTTGAATGTAAGAAGCCTAGTGCTTTCAAAAAAATGGGATCAAGTTCCAAGTTCACAGTAGCAGCCATTGTAAACACCTGAAAGGAAAAAAAGGGGGGAGTAATTTAGAGACAATGAACAAAGTTTATCTATAATTTATTTTGTTTAGAACAAGTAATGCTGTGCACATAATACAAAATTCAAAATATTCGAATGGTTATTACAGATAAAAGTAAACTTCCTTTTATCTCTGACAAGCATTATCTAGTTCTTTCCTCCTGAAGCAAGAGTGTTACCAGTTTTTTGTGTATCCAGATCCAAGTTTTAATTCCAGATAAGCTACTCCCTACCACAGAGCCCTTCTTAATTCCATTTTAAAATATACACCACAGCTCAGTACACACGAACTTGACGTATTTAGGTCAAGTTTACTATATATGAAAATGTCTTCTCTCAAATCTTATTCCATGACAGAAAAAAAATTTAATGTGTGTGTATGGCGGGGCGAGGCAGAGTATCATAGGAAGACCATGGTTAGAGGATGCATTAGGTAATGAGCTATATAAAAGGTCACTAATGTAGCATTTACTTTGGTTATCTTTTTTTTTTATCTCCCAAGTTTTCATTCCCAATCTTGAATGCCTCAGAAAACATTTGAATGATAATCTTATATTGGATCACATTTAGTATTATCTCATGCCTTAACCTATTTTTAAAAAGGGAGGCCTCTGAGGGATGGTGCCATCTCTACTTAAAAAAACAAACAAACAAATATACATATAAATCTCCATCTCATAGGGACTGTGATAATGTTCTGTGTTCTAAGGAGCTTAAAAAATAGTAAAGACATACATCAAAAGCTTATGAAATTCCAAAACATTAAAAAATTTTGTTTTCCACTAATATCGATGCTATCATGTGGTTCTATCATTTTTTCAAATACTTCTCCAGGCAAGAAATATTAAAATAAAAATGTATAGTCTATGTTCAATCCTTTGATCAATATTCTACGGCTTGAAATTGTCTTCAATCCTCGAGGTTAATATTATAATAATGTACCACACTTGCACTGCTATAGTTAAGGATCTGTCAGCAGTTCCACAGTAATCTCTCATTTTCAGGGGTTTATAAAGCCATTAAAACTTGCTGTAGATTTAATTTTGGCATATGAAAGCTCTGCCTAAAAATGAATTTTGTTTATTCCTTCCCCATCTGCTTCCCCTTAATTCCTCTTCAACTTTGACAGGAAACACACACACACATTCTACACTTTTTGAAAGTTTTAAAGAAGGTATTAGATATCTGATAGCCTCAAAATTACTATCAAATTCTATGCTCTACTACAGTATCTGAATCACCCATGAGAGGAGTCCAAAGGCCAATACTAGAAGGAAAATGACTACCTCAGTTATATTAATAAGAATTTAACAAAAATTAAGAAGCAACCTCTGTCATTTCTTAAGACTATATTAACATATATGTCATCTATATATAATATAGGTTCAACAAGGTTATTTTTAAATTTACATATGGGGCTGATCACCATTCATATTCTGAGAAAACAGCTCCTCTTTAAAGTGTCCATAATGAAAAGAGTAAACTTGCCACACTTCCTGAGTACACAGGGGAACACGGCCTAGTTTCTCTATTGGCCTAACTTTTTATAGCCAAAGAGCATAGTAGTTTACTTACCCAGAACAGTGTTTTATAAAGTACTGACTAAAGGATTGATACTTAGAAGAATCCTCATAATATACTAGAAAAACCATTACTTGAAATTTCTATGCTGAACAACGCAAGCAAAATATTTATTGTTATGTATTTCCATAATCACAAATTAAAGGTTTACATTACAGACGAGTGACATGAGTTGGCACCTACATGAATACCAACATGGAACACCAACTGGGACCTTGGAGTCAGCTCTTTCTATATGATTTTATACTCATAAAATGAACCAGCTTTGTACCCCTGCCCTACATTACTAACATGTCCCAGTGGTTTCCACAGTAGAATACAAGGAGAAAAATAAGAGAATTTCTTTTTCTTTTTCTTTTTTTATTAAAAAATAAACTATTAACATACAGTTAGAATAGTATATGCATATAACTGATAACTAAATACACATATGAAAGTGAGTTCAATTTTTTTATTCATGGAATACATGATAAGAAAAGTTTGGAGGCAACTGCTTAATAGCAAATTCTGGTTTCCCTTTCCCTATTCTATATACATCACAGCTCCTTTTATGTAAAAACCACTTTCTTGAAAATCTCTCCAATACTACATTTGATTCAGCCCGTCTCCCTCTCTACATTAACTTCATTGTTAGCAGGCCACAATTTTAGCATCTATATAGATATCTTCTATAACTTCCTTCACTCAATTTTGATCTTCAACCCCAAGGAGCTTCATTGTCAGCCAGTAAGACTTGAAGCTTGTCACAACTATTTTTCTCTTTGACTAGAATCTTCCATCACTCTATCTCTTCCAATGCTTTGACCCAGGAACCTCTTTAGGGTGCCAAATGAATTTTTCTTTTCTTTTTTTCATTTCTTTACCTCCATTACACCTGTGCTTTGACTTTATAGAGGCCTCCAGTTTTTTATTCCCTCCCTTTTCTCTTTATTGGCACCTTCTTGCTCCAACTTCTTTCACTCATCAAACAGAAAACAGTAGTTGGGCCTAAAATAAAACACTCATGGTTATGTGCTTTATCCTCTAGATTTTAGTTTTCTATCTTACGTTTCTTCCCCATTTTCTATTGCCTTCTCTGGTTTCTATTACTTTTCCTTTCTTATTGGCAAAAGTACATGTAGTGAGAGAAATATATTTTCCTTCTACTGAAGTCCTAAAGAGGTCAACAACTGTGGTGTAACTCTGTCGATTTATCTCCTTTATTATTTCCAAAAATATTTTCCTGCAGTTAGGCCAAATTGTGTTACTTCCATATGATTTCCTTCCTGAATATTCCAAATCCATGATGAAAATACACTATAAAACAGCAATTATCATTCTTATTGTAGATCAGAGTTCTAGAAAACAAAGTCCTAGGGTGTGTGTGTGTGTGTGTGTGTGTGTGTGTGTGTGTGTGTGTGTAGAGAGAGAGCAAGAGAGAGAGAAAGAGGCAGAGAGATGAAAGAAATGTAATGTTTAAAATGTAGGCTTAATTTAAAATCTAGGTATTGCTTTTAAAAAAAGTTATAAAATTAATAATTACCACTTAAAAAATGTCAATGACCTAGCAAAGTAGAAGTGGAATTGGTGAGAGTGAATTCTTAGCTTATTCTAGGAATTGTCTATGACAAATGCATATAAACACCACAGAAATTCCTACTACTAAACAATGATCTATTTACTCCATCTCATTTCTTCATTTATTTGGCAGTATGTCATTTTACTTCCTATCTAGCTTATATGCCATGGTTCAGCCTTTCAAAAACTCTTCTAGTACTCTAAGCACACTTGTCTCATAGCCCTATAGTTTCATCTACTTTGTAGCCATCCATCCTGCTATGTACCTTCTCCCAGCATGCGCCCAAACTCTAAGTACTAGTGAGACTAATACACTCACACTCCATATCTTCAGAGTTACCAACCTCATCTAGGTACTCAATACAACTTAGCAATTCTATCATGCTTCTCTAGTCAACTTACTTCCCCACTTTCTGCAAAGACCAGTTACCTTTCTCCATTTTCCTTGAAACTGCTTCTCTAGTTATCTTTCTCCATTTTCCTTGAAACTGTTTCTCTGTCTCAGTAGATGGCCTCACCTCCTTCACAGAGAAAACATAAGCTGTCAGAGAGGAACTACATCAACTTCCTGCCATATCTACAAACTTATTTGCATCCAACCTTTCCTCTTTCCCACCTGATAAATAGGAGGTTGGTGGCTCTCCATGTAACGCCACATGTACCTGGATCTAACTCTTCTTCCTTCCCCCTGGAACCCTGAGTTGTGGGTTATTTACTATGTCTTCTTCACTGCCCCCGCCCTCACCCCAGTTTCTTTCTTCCTCCTGGCATCTTTTCACTGACATTTAAATATATTCAAGTCTCTTTTATCCTGTCTTCTTCATTTTATAGCAAAACTCTCAGACAGTCATCTACATTTTATGCCTTCTACCTGTCTTTATTCTTTCTACTTATGCTGCATTTTCTGCAAATTGGCCTTTATTCCACCATTTCATGAAAAGGCTCTCACCAATGTATTCAGAGTCTGAGGCAAATATAATAAATACGGTTTTTCCTCTTACGTCGTTTTCAGTCTTTTTTTTGTAGATTCCTCCTAATCCACTTAAACAAAAATGAATTCTCCAAGGCTGGGTTCTTGTCTCACTCTAAATCTTCTCCTCAAAATGTATCCTCTGGATTAGCGGCATACGCATTACCTGGGAACCTGTTAGAAATGCAAACTCTTGGTTTCTACCACTGGACCTGCTGAAGAAAAATTCTGGGAGTGGGGCCCAGAAATCTGCATTAAACCTTCCAGATGATTCTGGTTCACTCTAAAGTTTGAGAATTACTGTAGTAGACAATTTGATCTATACCCTTTGCCAGTAATTATAAATTTATCTCTCCAGCCCATGTGTCTCTTCCAAGATCTAACTGCTAGCTTGACCTGGATACATCACTAGTGCCTCCTACTCAACATGTCCTTAACAGAGCCACCCATAAACTCTCTTCTTGTCTCCCAACCAGTTCCTCCTCTAGTATTCCCTTTCTCAGATGATACTTACCCCATTGCTCCAGCCAGAAACCTGAGAATCAGCTTTAATTCCTCCCACTTCCTCAACTCCTGACCCCCATGTAATCACCAAGTCTCTTAAACATGTCTCAAATTCATCTACCTGTTTCAATCCTTACTACCAGCACCCTAAATGAAGCTACCATCATCCATTATCTGGCCCACTGTAATAGTTTAATTGGTCTCCCCACAGCTACTCTGGTCCCCCTCCAAATCTTTTCCTATCATCCAATTGCTTAAAATACTTCTTTTGCTTCTCACCGTCCAAAGGTTAAAGAACAAGATTCTTAACAAGGTCTCTAACTCCCTACATGATCTGGCAGTGCATGTAAAGCAGTTGGGATAGTACTTGGCACAGAGTACATGTTCATTAAATGTTACCTAGTGTTTCAGGCTATTCCCACTCTCTTTGTTGTAGCGCATGACTTGTTTCAAGTCTTTCAATGTATCTTTCTTACCTCAGCACTTTAGTAGTGTCCCATCCCCTATCTGATTCATTCTTCAAGTCTCACTTTCTGAACAAATTCTTGCTGTTATATGGTCCCTAAACATCCTGCACTCATTTTTAATAGTTACTACACTGTTAATTACGTGAACAGTGTGTGTCTTTCTCACTAGAAAAAATTTCATGAGGGCCAGCACTGGGTTGGTTTTATCTATTGTTATAATGGCGTGTCTAGCTGAGTGCCTGGCAGATAGCAGGTACTCAGTAAAGGCCGGCTAAGTAAATGCAGATTATCTGCTTCCTTTTTCAAAAAACTTTCTCCTCCTTGAGTTCTATCACATTCTGGTTTCCCTCTTCTATCTGTGACTAGTCTTTCTTTGGCTCATCTTCACATCCCTGTTGTTCTTGTTATTTACCAAGTATCTATCCCAGTCTACTTTCATTAGTTCTGGTACTAATTTATTCCCTGGTGATTCTTATGTATATCATGTTTTCAACTATCATCTCTAGGCCGATGATTTCATATGCTTATTCCTACTCCAATCTCTCTTAAATTTGAATCCCACATTTCCAATTGCTTAATAGACATGTCTGCTTGATTGCCCTAATAGTATCTCAAGTTCAGTTATGATTAAAATTCAGATTATGAATATCTTCCCCAAAAGTTCCTTGTCCTACAATTTCTTTCAATAAATAACACAACTCTCCATTAATCAGGTCCAAAGCCTAAATCTTTCCCTCACTGGGTCCTCTCCTAGTCCTTATATACAAACGATCAGCAGGCCTTTCCTGTGGATTCTAACATTTCTCACATTTGCTCTCTGTTTTTCAATTCTATTGCTACTACTCAAATTCATACCTTGTTAGCTTTTTTGTACTACAGTAATATTCTAGTTATTCTGTTGTCATGCTAACACTGTTGCCATGTTAATGCTCCTGAAAAAACATTTTTCTTTTTCTTTTTTCTTTTTTTGAATTTTCTTCTTCAAAAATTAAGGCTTCCCACTGTCTTCAAAATATAACCCAATTTCTTGGCTGGCATTTAAGAAGATTCATTAACTGGCACAAAAACTTTAATTCTTTATCTTGATCTTCCTTACACCAGAGCCATTAGCTTGTTTTGCCAGTTCTACTCGTTTTTTCTGTGACTGGGAAGCATTTTTAACCCTTTTTAGATTTCCAAATTCTACTGAGACCCTGTTCAAACACTACTTCTCATGAGGATTTTAGTTACAGCTGGTGTGTCTTTCTCCACCCCAAATACTACTAATAATTTCTCCCTCCCAGGATATCTTGTAGTGCTTTCTCATGGAACTGGGGCTTTCTACCTTGAACCATACTCATTTTTAGCACAAGTGTTATATGCCCTATAAAACTCTGTGTACTTTAAGGGGAGAGTCTATATTTATCTTTTTGCCTATCGTTTTGCAATTCTGCAAAGTACCATAAAATAATGGCTATAAATTATTAAGCTATCAAAGTATAATGGCCCTTTCTCACCTACACAATTTTGACCATTTTCAAAGTCCCTTCACAAAGAGCAAGAAAACTCGTACCAATCAATGCCCCATCCCATTACCCCACAAATACCTAAACATCAAAAAGCAAAAGCAAAACAAAAACGCCTCTTTCATGACTGGAAAGTTGTACAATGTTCCTATCTGCAGTGCTCACTTCCCAGTCCCTCCTCTGTTTTAAATTCGCTAATCCCACGGGACTGTAAACTCCATGAAAGAAGGGACTTTTTAAATTAATAGTTATACATACTTTGTGCTTGGAACTTGACAGGTACTTAAATATGTTTATTGAATGAGCTAGGTTTTTGTTGAAATAACACTCTAGAGCTTCTGTGATCTCTCCAACCAGAATTGGGTCTTCATATATAAATATATGCTTTCCCCGAGATCCCGTTTCCCACCCTACACGCAAATCTTAAAAGAAGTCCAAAGTTGATCATCTCTACGTCCAAGACATGAGGAAAACTGAACTTACTCAAAGTGTAGAATTAGGGCTGACATCTCATAACGGCTCTAGAAAGCTTTGCCCTTACGTCTTTGCAAGCTCTTGCATTCCTTTCTAATAAGCATCCTTTTAAACATTCTGCCCTTGTCATTCCTCCACTGAGTTCTTGGCCCTGGGCTACACTGATACCTTAGGGACACGTCAGGAAACGCAGGGCAGGCAAGAGGAACCCCGATTCCAAACCAAGCAAATGCCAGAGAACCCGAAAAGCGACAGCTGACGCTCAGAAAAAGAATGCCAACCTTTTGATCAAAGCATGATACACCAAAGGCCTAGCAAGGGTGAAGGTCCTCAAAAGGGAGCCCGAGAGAAGATGAGAGATGGAAAGAGGGAGCTGTACAGAGAAGTCGCCAAAACCTTCTGGGGAAGGTCTGAGACAGGGTTCCCAGGACTTAGCGTATGGGGCTGTGTCGTCCTCCGTCCGCGTGCTCCAGCCCGCAACACCCTCGGAGGAAGCAGAGACCTCAATGAAAAGGGAGAGCGGTCATCCAGGGGCACGCGACCTCCGGCAAATTACGAGGTCTCCCCGTAGGGGTAGAGGAAACAAAGATCCCACGGAACTACTCTCCCACCTCATCCCTCGCGGAGGTCTCGAGCCTCCCAGAGGAGGCTGGGAGGGGGGGGTCGCTCGTCACAACTCACCGCTCCGCCCCGCTCCTCAGTCGGCTCCCTGTAGCCCCTTCCGAACCGGTCCCGGCACGAGCCAGCTCCGAGAGCAGGAAACAAAGGTTCCCGAAGCGAAGTCGAGGGGGAAACGTTTCGCTGTGCCCCGGTAGGAAGTGACGAAACTCCTCTTCTTCCGGTCCGCCGGATTATGAATGTCGGTCGGCGCGGCGGTTTCTCAGGCGTGCTGTCTGTTGTTTCTCTCCTAGTCTCCTTGGCAGTGAGTTGTTTACTGGCTAAGACTCCAGAAGCCGCCTCGGAATCCCGGCTCGGGCCGGACGGGAAGGCGCAGGGGGCTCGTGTCGCCGACACGCTCACGCACCCTCCCTGCCTGGCCGCGCCTCTGCGACCAGGTAAAGAGGGCGCTCGGGCCGCCGGCTCCGCAGTCCCCGCGACCCCAAGATGAATACTCCGGGGGCGACAGGGCTGACGATGCGGGGGAAGGGCAAAGACGTGGAATTAGTGTGCTGATCTCTCTACGCCCCTCCTTGGCCACAGCTTTTGAGGATGCGCGTGGAGGGCTCCCGGCCCTTCTTAGTTTCCCAGGGCCAACTCCCATGGCTGGTGTGGGGAATGGAGCAGCTTCTATTTGTAGGGGTCGGGGTCGTTTGCCGTTTGCTGTTAAGCGTAATTTAAGAACTCTTGGGTCACGCTTTAACTTTTTTTCTCTTTGGCACTTAGTTTTCCATTCCAGCCCTTCCTGATTGGAGAAAGCAGTTCTGTGTGCATACTGCTTAACAGTTGCTCCGAAAGACTTTCTTCATTTGGGGCTATTTGCTTCTGTCACACCATCAATATTTCACTTCGGTTTTCAACTTCTGTAGAAAGTTTAATTTGCATGAAAATTGCGTTGGCTCCAAAAAACGTTTACTAATACAAGTACTTCCCAAACCAACTCTCTACCTGGTTTTGGGACGAGGTGACTTGTTTTCGATGTTGTTGTTGTTTTATTCTGACTTCCAGGATCCCTTATGCCACAATCCCTATCCTTGTCGTAAATTCTTGAATGTCAAGGAAATGCCAGCATTTAATAATATATCTTGTGCTAAACAACTGTTAAAATAGGGAGAGTACCTCTACTTCTCTAATCTTATCTGTAGAAAGTGTTTAAATGAGAAAAGTGCAAAAGCCGGCAAGGACTAATGATGTGACAATTTAAAACATGTAAACATAATCACTTAAATATTGTAAAAATAAATCATTTGTAATAAATGCAACCGAGTGATTTGCTGTCATATTTAATAAAACATTAAGCTATGAGAGTTGTTTTATTATTTTTTTTAACTTCCCGGTGCGGAATATACACTACTGAGGATTGCCTTAAGCGTACTCATCTCATTATTTGAAATTGTGTTTGAACTATAACTGAAGGCATCATTTTAATAGGTCTCATTTCAAAAATAAGTCTGTGAAAAAATCAGTGAGATTTGAGAATCATCTGTTCTTTTATTTTATGTTTTTTAACTTCCACGACTTGGTTTGCCTGCTTTAAACAGGGTTCGAACTTCTTAAGCCGTGGGCCCAAGAGTTTTTTTTTTAATCGGTGTTTACTTTGTAGCTTTTGTATTATTTGCGATTTGAAATAAGAAATACTGAGTATCTAGTTGGCCTTTCTGACAGCAACAATTTAGCAGACTTTGAAACAACAAATTCTGAGGCCTGTCAACTAAAACATTTGTAATATACACAGTTCTTTAGTATACGTTGTTTTCATCTTCAAGTTTTCAAAGCAGCCTGCTGAATTCTGTTCTGGTTAGTGCTCGGAATGCAAGGATTTAGACCATTTTTAGATCATGACAAGTAGAAGTATAGTTTTCTCTGGGGATTCAGTAATTTTATTTCAGCCTTGCTGATGTTTCTAACATGTCAGCATTTCATGTTGTGAATCCCTATTAATTATGAGGTCAGGCTTAACTACAAGCATTATGATTCTATGGCAACAGATGATTCCCTGATTCTCCAGAGAAAAGATGACACACTTCCCTTATGGCTAAGGTTACAGTAAGCTTTTTTACTTTTAAACCCTTCCCCCCGCCCCGCTTCTTGCCCAGATAAGAAAACAGCTAATTTTAATTGTAGAATTTTGTCCTCTAGGACTTAACTGTATATAGTCCCACATTACATAATGTAATGAGCACTGAAATAGCTCAGGTTTTTTTCTTTCCTATGTTAATCTTTAATGTTTAAGATAATGTTTAAGATTAGATAGCAGTTAGACTGCTATCTAACTTTGTAAGGGCGGGTTTTTAAAAAAATCTATGTAATTGCAAGAAAATAGGGTGAGATTTGCAACCAAATAGTATTATTTTGTGAAATATATAAAACAAGCTAAATTCTAATAGCCATAATGTTGAGCATTTGATATAGCAGGAAATTTAAATGGGTTTAAGTCTTAATCTCTAAGAATAATAACAGATTGTAATTTTTTCATACTCATAAACTATAGAGCTATTTATTTTATACAATATAAGCAGTTAATACACATGTGAACTTAGGTTTTCACACTTATAGTCTACCAATTTGTGACTCCCTGGCTTTTATTCAGCCTCAGTAATAGATTTCTTTTTCAGTATTTGGGGTGGAATACTTTTCCAATTTGATATGAACTGCTTACCTTTCCTGAGAAGTTTGGAAATATAAAGCATAATTTGGGGCTTGTCCATCAAAAATTTGTGTATTTTAATAGTATGGCTGGATAAAGATTTTTAGGATATATTATAAATGAATAATAATAGCTAATATTTATTTAGGGGCTTACTAATGTAATAGACATTGTTCTCTTCTCACAACACAGTACATGAGAAATGCTGTTATTATTGTTCCCATCTTATAAATGAGGAAACTAAAGCACAGAAATGTTTTATATTATTACTAAATATCAGGACCAGGATTTGAACAGGGTTAGTCAGCTCCAGAATCTAGGCTTTTATCCATTACTTTATAGTTCTTGATATATAAATATTTTACTTGCTAAGTAAGTATATAGAATCTAGTTAGATTCCTAGTTCTCAATATGCATAAAAACTTCTAAGCTTTCTTTACCAACATGTTTGGATGGACTCTCTTCTTTTTCCAGCTCAACTCACAAAGATGATCTTGTTTCTTCATTTTAATTTATACATTGATGGTTCTTAAAATAGATTTATTCATCTGGAAGAGAAGAATGAGGTTCATGGTGTACCAAGACTACAGTTCTCAGTAGTATTCTCATTACAGTGATTACTGATATCATTTAAGTACATTCATTCATTTATTCATCCCATGAATTAAATTTTGAGTACTGTTAAGCATTGGAGATATAACTTCAGGTAAGAAGTGCCATAAAGTAAAAGAAAGGATAAGGGACTAGCAAGTGATGGGAGTGCTTTTTCAATTCAGGTTGCCAAGAGAGGCTGCTCCCAGTTAATATTCAGAGACCTCCATGAAATGAAGGAGCAAACAATGTGAATATCTTGAAGAAGAGCATTCTAGGCAGAGGGAACTGTAAGTACAAAATTTTCAAGTGGGCACGTTCCTGACATCTTCCAAGAACAGCAAGGAGGACTGGCTAGAGAGGAGTGAGCAAGAGGCAGGAGGGGGTAGAAGATGAGATCAGAAAAGGATAGCGGGGGTCACATCAGGCCCTATAGGCCATGGTAGGAAATTTGGATTTTATTCTAAGTGTGCTGAGGAGCCATTGGATGGTTGTGAGCAGGGGACATATCTGATATACGTTTTTGAAAGACCACCCTGACTATTGTTAGAGCATTGACAATTGTGTGATTAGTGGAGGAAAACTGTTAATAGGCTTTTGCGGTGGTCTTTGTAAGAGCTCATGATGACTTAGATTAAGGTGATAGTGGTAGAAGTGCTAAATTGGCTTTGGCATATATTTCAAAGTTAGAAATAGTAGGTTATGAGCGAGAGTAAAAGGAGTTGAGTGAGACTTCAGTGTTATGGACCTTGTGAATGGTGTTGCCATTTTACCAAGAAGGGGACTACTAAGGGAAGAGGAACAGGTGTAGAAAAATGTCCAAGCTGAGATGTCAGGTAGGATATAGGAGTCTGAATTTCACTGGAAAGGATGTAGATGAGATAAACGTAGGAGTTATGGGGATATTTAAACCTATGGCAATGGAGATCACCTAGAAACAGAGCAATTATATCGTGAGTTGTTGGCACATTAGTGGGTCATGAAATCAATTTAGTGAGTGCCAACCAGCATTCATAAATGAAGAAAAGCACAGTAAAAAATATCATATGTTCCATGTAGTCGGATATTTCTACATAATCCTTTTGTTTCAGTTTTATTCAGTGTATAATGAGTTATATTATAAAATGTATTTCTTGTGGGGCATGATCAAAAGTTTGAAAGCCAGTCCTCAGGAGTGAATATAGATTGAGAATAGGGCAAAGCACTGAGCCAAGGGTCACTATAGGTCTGAGGAGGATCCAATAAAAGGGAGTCAGGAAGGAACTATCAAAGCACTTAATCCAGTACTGAGAGTGTTCAAATTACTCTGCCTTTAGAACAGAGGGTTTTTTTGTTTTGTTTTGTTTTTTTTAAATCAAGGATTACTAAGACCAGGACAATTGCTTAGACTAACATAATTTCTGATGGTTTTCACTTTCGTGAAGCTGTGTGTGTTAAGTGCTGTTCAGTCGGTTCCAACTCTTGGTGGCTCTGTGAATGGTGATGTCCACAGTGCCCTTTCTCAACAGCCCTGTTTGGCTCCTGGAGACTCACACCTATGGCTTCTTTTATGGAGTCAGTCCATCTCATAATTGGTCTTCTTCTTCTCCTATTGCCTTCTGTTTTTCCCAGCATTATTGTCTTTTCCAGACAATCCTGCTGTATGATATGCCCAAAGTAGGGCAGCCTCAGTTTTGTCATTTTTGCTTCCAGCGGTGTTTCAAGCTTAATTTACTCTAGCACTTAATTTGTTCATCTTCCTGGCAGGCCAGGGTAGAGCGCTTCTCCAACGCCGCATTTCAAATGAATCATTTTTTCCCCTATCAGTCTTCTTCACTGTCCAACCTGTGCATCCATACATAGTAATTGGGAATACGAGGGTGTGGATGACCTTAGCCTTGGTTTCTAACGGCACATCTTTGCTCTTGGTGATCTTTCCTAATTCTTTCATTGCTGCCCTTCCAGTTCTCAGCCTTGTCTTGGTTTTTTGACTGTAGTCATCATTTGAATTGATGACTAACCAAGGTCACCAAGCAAAATCTTTAAGTTTGTCTTCATTGTCTGTTAAATTATGTATTTCTTCTATAGTCATGATTTGTATCTTCTTGATGTTTCGAATGTAGTCCCGCTTTGGAATTTTCTTCTTTCACATTCATCAAAAGTTGTTTCAAATCATTGCTCTTTCTGCCAGTAAGATGGTGTCATCTGTATATCTTATATTACTGATATTTCTTCCATCAATTTTCACTCCTTCCTCTGAGTCTAGCCCAGTTTTTGGTATGTGTTCTGAGTTCAGATTAAACAAATAGGGAGTAAAATGCACACTTATCAGACACTTTTGGAAAACCTATGGGAAACTGAAATTGTTGCAGCAATACAATTGCAATATGCTTCAATTTATGAAATTCTACATTTATAAAGCAGTGCTATTTATATTAGAAAAATACCTATTCTTGAATGTTTTCAAATAATATAGATTCAATTAATGCTTGTAGATTGATATACAGTTCTCATCCATGTAATGGGAGTAAAATGTACTTTTTTTTGTTGCAGTTATGCACTTTTTGTTATTATGTAATCTATAACATTTATTTTGTTGCAGTTATGCACTTTTTGTTATTATGTAATCTATAACACTTATTTATTATGTAATATTTAGTTGTCATAAATCCAGACTTGACTTTTGAGCATAAAACTTTCAAACTTTTTTTTCAGCTTCTGGAGAAATATGCTTATTTTTAATATTTTAACATTTATTGTATTTCCACATCTCTGTCATTACCTATATATTAGATAAGAAAACACCTATAAAAATCATTTCCCTTTTCATATGTGAAGTGTTTCAATTTATCGACACCAAGATGTTAACTAGAATAAAAATGCAAAAAAGTCTAAATGCTTAAAATATTAAACCTCTGACTACTTAAGTTGTTTGAAATATCTTTGAAGATTCCCAAGTAATAAAACCAAGGCTTAAATATTTTCCTTTTACCTACTTATTCCCTCTGCAACATTCCCAAGCAAACTGTCATGTCCAGAGAAGAGATGCACGCTCCATTAATTCTGTTTGGCTCCTAAAGTTTGTGGTTTTGTCTGCTGCTTTCTCACTTTGTTTCAAGAGTAGTTGCAAGGTGGCACCTGTCAAAGCTGAGAAAGAGCGCATGATGCTACTTCTGTGCTTGGCAGGAATGTAATATGGATAACAAGGGCTGTGCCCCAGAAGCCCTGGAGACCCAGAAGATGATTCCACAGGACCTACCTTTTTAAAGCTAATGACGTAAAATTAGTAACTAAAATTCTCTAGGTAGAAATGGAGAAGAAAAAGAGGGGTTTCTTTTGCCAATGGTATTTGTAAACTTTAAGCAAAAACTCTGTTCTTTGTTGAAAAAGACATAGTACAAGCTAAAAACATATCAAATTTGTACAAGTTTGCTAATACTTAATATTATTTTGAGATTAGATTAGTACTTAATGGGAAGAAATTGCCCCAGGAGAGTCATTTTTTATTTTAACTCCAAGATTGTTAAGTAACATTTTTAATCTCCCAGGAAAAAAAATCGACATCTATATTGAAAAAAGTAAATTTTGTTAAGAATCTACAGTACTTTGCATTTTCTCTCGGGCATCTTATTAATTTTTAGATATCTCCATGGACAGGTTATTGCTATTCTATCTCATTGACATTTAGTATTTATTAAGTATTCAGAGAGAGAATAGTTTGTAGACTATGTAAAAGCCTATTCTCAAGATTCTTATGGAAAGTGGCAAATATATATATTTGTATATGTGTGTGTATATATATATATATATATACACACACACATATACATATACATATATACTCACACCTTAATTTTAAATAGTCTTTCTACATATCCTAAATCAAAAGCTGTAACATGACATCGTTTTCAGTTTTGTTTTGTTTTTTTAAGTGGTAGGTCTAGTCTCATAATTACTGTTTCCTAGACTGCTGAGCAAATGAAATCGGCCACACTTTCTTTCAGATCTGTTCTGGAAGCTCTTAGGGATCTTCTTCCTAGTATGCCACTGTCCTAAGAGAGAGTTAAGAGGATTGGTAAATTGATCAGCAATAGATTTACAAAGGGCAAACTCAAAGAGACTGTCAATTTCCTAGAAAATGGTTTCTTTTGCCTGTGGCCTTTAATAAACGCCATTTAACATTTTGTTTTAAAATCACCTCTAGGTTTTTTTTTTTAAAAAAAGGTAATTAAGGTCAGCAAGAAAATAGTTTCATGATTTAAAAAGTTGTTGCTTATTTTACATGAAATAACTTCCCCCTAAATAACCTTTTAGAGAAGTAAAATCATGGTGTTTTTATGTTTTAATAAAAAATATAAAATAAAACGGTAGTGATTATTTGCATTATCAAGAGATTGTCTAAGACAGTATCTTACTAGTTATATCCCTTTGTTATAATGGATTATTATCTCTAATAAAAAAGTTGAGGACCAAAAAGCTTAAAAAGTATTTGACTATTTGCTTTCAATTAAAAAAAAAATCTAAGGAATTTAGAATATTAAGGAAATTTAATATATTGAAGATTTCCTAAAATTTGGTACTCTAATATTATAAATACACTTAAAAGAGTTACATGTGTACTTTTTAAAGGCTTTTAAAATAATTTTCCTCTAATAATACCATATTCTTATTACTGCATACTTCCATGGTGAATGCTTTTAAATAGTGCCATCTAGTGTCAATTTGGAATTGTGATTTATGGATTGGAACATGGAGAATTTTAGATCCAGGATGTATATAAATCAAACGAAAGTTATGGTAATTGACAAAAGTCTTAAGGATTATGACTTGAATAATTTGACCTCAAAATTGTATATGTTTGCATCTTTAAAATAATCAGTGTGTATATTCATCCATACATTCATTCAATAAATATTTCTTGATTTCATATATAGCAGACTCTGTTTTAGGCATAGCAGTGAACAAAACAAAATTTATACTCATGGAACATTTTAATTTGGACAGACAAAACAAATATATAACATGTTACAACAGTAATAAATGCTATGAAGAAAAGCAGAGAAGGGGATAGAAAGATTTTCAGGGAGGGTGGGGGTTGGGATTTGCAATTTAAATATGGTAACCAGGAAAATCTCAGTAATAGGTTGATATTTGAATAAATACCAGAAGGAGAGAGGGCAGTGTTTCAGGTACTGGAACTCTCAAGTGCAAAGGCCCTGAGGTAGGAATGTACCTAATTACCTTGGGGGATTAACAAGCCACTTTGTCTGGAGCAGTGAGCATAAAGAGAGTTGAGTTGATGAAATGAACTCAGAGACAGAAAGGATTAGATCAAAGAGATATTTGTAGGCCATTGTAGGAACTTCACCTTTTCTCCGAGTAGGAAGACATTGGAGAGTTAAGCAGAGCAGTGACATAATCTTACTTCATTTTAGACAGTATCGCTTTTGCTGTTACGTTGAGAATAGACTAGAGGGGGAGGTGAGCTGGAAAGTAGGGTTAGGAGGCAAATGTTATAATTGAGAAGAGAGGTGCCTTGGATTGTAGCGAGAGCAATGATAGTGGTTTGAAATGGTCAGATTCTGGATCTGTTGTTGGTGGAGGTCAAATAAGTTTTTAATGCAATGGTTATAGAGATTTGAAAGAAAAGAGTAAACAATAATGACTCCCCAGGTTTTGGGCCTGAGCAGCTGGAAGGATGGTGTTCTATAAACGAAGAATGGAAAGGTACATTAGGAGCAGATTTGGGGGTGGGGACCTTGATTTTGGCCATGTTAACTTTGAGATATCTCAGCCATCAACATCTAAGTTATGACGAAATTCGAATATTTTCTGTTGTGATTCGTCATGCAATAGCTCATCATGTATCAAAACCCACTTTACAAGAATTCATTTTTCATGAGGGAGTAAATATATCTCCCCTGATTTTTATATTGCAGGGACATAAAACAGAAACAGTGCTAGAGGACTAGCATTGTCAAAGCTTCTCAAGGCTATTATTCCTAGACAGCTCTCAGTATTCTTGATTATTTCTTATTTTCCATTCTATTCATTTCTTGTTCTCACTTCTAGTGAGACCTTAAAGTACTTGATTGGGAGGATTCTATTACAAAGTGTCCGAGCTTGCTCATTTTAAAGGAACTGGGTGTAAAATCACCTGTAAGTCTAGTTAATTGCATAGGGTGGAAATTTTTCCTTTGGAAGCTATTTATTCAATCCAGGAACAAATTCTTGTAGAATTGTATCTATCACAAATCCTTGCTGATTTTTAGAACAGGCTTTTTTAGCTTCTAAATTATTTTAATCTAACGTTTATAACCACTTCGCTTTATGCTTCAGGTGACCCAATGAAAGAAGAAAATGAAAGGCATTAAGAAAAGCCTTACAGAGGAATATCTATACCTGGACTTTTCTCACCAAAAAGAAGGATGCATCTTTCCACTTCATACATCTGTAACTTTATTTTTGTTGTCTTACTGTGACTGTAAAATCTTCAAAGTTTGCTTAGTTCTCACCAGAGAAAGTACAGATATTCCACTACTTAAAAATATACTGTCCCAGGATGTTGAAATACAGATTATTTCAAGGCAGGAGCTTCCACCGATAGTCCAGAGTTGCTGTTTACCTGCAATAGTAGAAAGACCAGAAGATTTCTGTAGAGCGGGACTAGCTGTTGTACTGAGATACATCATCCAGAAATCATATGAAGCAGATCCCTCAAAGAAGGAAATTTTGGAACTTCTGGGCTTTAAGAAGACTTGCTTGAAAGCCTGTGCTGAAGTAAGTATATTATCTCTTTTTCTGTCACTTAAAGCCAGATAGTGATAACACATTCACTTAAACATTTAACTTTCTTCTAGAAATGAAAATTTCATTTCCTTGAAAAACATAGTAACCAATAAAATAAAGTAGCCTATCATGTATGCCAATATTGCATTGCAGTATTGAAAAATAAGAACCTAAGATTTAATTGGTGAGGTTTGGAGACATTATTTTTAGAGAATGACTTTTTTAAACCTTTTATTTACATTGAAGATTTTAAAAGAGAACGTTTACATATTAAAAGAGCTTAAGTAGCAATGCTTTGGAAACCCAGCTTTTTTAAGGAGGTGTGTACTTTAAAGGCTTTGGGAAGTAGAGATTTATTTAGTAAGAGGATACAGGAGCACAGCATGTATTCCAGATACAGGAATGTTAAACCTCCATTGTTTAATGTTATCACTTCTGAAGCACTGTAATATGCCTCAATATAGCATAAAAGCCTAGCACAGGAATGATTTAGCTCAAGATTTAAATTCTCTAAACTGGTCTTATTTCCCAAAAGACGGTTATTTTTCTTCAAGCTATGTTGAAATAAAGAATAATTTCATTTCTTGGTTTGTTTTGCAGGTTAGTCAGTGGACCAGGCTATGTGAATTCACCATCCCTTTAGCTATTGAGAATTTTCTCAAAGAATCTGCTGACCAGCACCCAACTATCCCTGAAGAAATACTACAGCTAGAGAAAAAGCTTAGTGAGCCTGTTAGAGTGCATAATGATGACAAACTCCGTCGGCAGAAGCTGAAGCAACAGAAGGCTCCCGGAGCTGGGCCTTCCCTTGTTAAGGGCAAAATGCAGAGCAAGGTCGATAGACAGAAAATGTCTGAAGGGTTGGACTCTTCATCCAAGAGCCTGGAACTGAAAGTAGCATTCTCAAAGCTCATGGTACAGGAAGAACCAGCTACTACCACCAACAGGGAGGCTTCTCACATCAGAAAAGCGAAGGCTTCTGACCTCCCACCTCTGGAGCATGTTTTTGCAGAAGGCCTTTACTTCACTTTGGCAGATATCGTGCTACTACCCTGTATCCATCATTTTTTGGTAAGATTTATCTGACGTGGATATATTACTGTAAGTTTCTGTGTATGAAATTGCTTATGTTTGAATCTCAGTTCCAATTCATACTATCATCATGCTCCTGGGCAAGTTATTAGTATATGTCTCCAATTTCTTATCTGTAAAATAGAGATAACAATAGTACCTATCTCATAAGACTAATGCAAGGAATGAATGATAACTTGTGTAAATTGTGGAGAACAGTTTTTGGCACATAGTAAGCTCTCAATAAATGTAATTGTTATGACTTAATTTTGAGTTGCTAAAATATTAGAAATTGTTATGATAATTTCCAATTGCTATTGTGATTACCTTCTAATATTTGAGCGTCCACTGTTAAAGCAGTAAAAAAATCTTTTGGCTATACTTTATAATAAAGTAGTCACTTAAAATACTAACTTAATTGTATTACGTTTATCAAATCAGAAATATTTATCTTCCTTTGTATGCTTCTCTGTTCTCCAAAAGAATACATGGAAAGTTTCCTTTCCTAGTAGGAGAATGGAGATATATACATACCCCCACAACCCACCCCCTTCCCTGTGTGAAACAGGAGAAAAGAACGGGTGAAAATATCAGTGAACATGGGAGGCTATAGCTCTCTGCAGCTTTCCAGTTGGTTTACAAGAGCTGCATTTTTTTTTTTTTTTCCTGCTTTGAAGCATTTTACCCTTCTCCCTATTTAGGAATCGGATATCAGATTTCATTCTCATTATACCTCACCAACAAGTCAAATATCTCTACTGACTAATGAGAAAAGACTTCTAATGGAAATTTATATATAGTGGAGGTGAGAGCTTCACTAGGTTAGGTGGTATTAAACAATTAGCATTTTCTTAAAGAATATTTCCACTTTCTTCAAAATGAGAACAAGATTGGAAACCAAAATAACTTCAGAATTAAAGGATATGAAAAAGAGAGTCAGGAATTGTTTAGATATTGATTGGTAATTTAAATGTCATATGTACTCATTTTGTCTAGAGAACTGGGTGGGAAGAAAACATTATTATTTTTTCCTTGTCAAATGATTTCTAAATTCTCTTGTGTCTGACTTCTCTCCTGTGTTACCAACTTCAGTCATTAGAGCAGTCGTTTGTTACATATCATGAAATAATGATGTTGTTCTTCTTGGATAACTATATTTGTTTCTAATTTCATAAAATTGAATCAAAGTTACACATTCATTAATTCAAGAAATTTAATGAAAGCTTTCTATATATGACAGGCACTGCTAAGGCTCTAGGAATCCAGTTATGAATAAGACAAATAAGGTCCCAGCTCTCATGGAGTTAGTATTCTAGTAGGGAAGATAGAAATGAATTAGTAGACAGATAATATATATATATTTAAATAATGGTAATTTCTACCAAGAAAATAAAACAAGGTGATAGAGAAGATGAGTGTTTGCTTTCAAACTCAACAAAACAGATAAAAAGTTGGATTTACCTTCATAAAGATATTTTTAGATCATTATCCAGACATCTATCTTGAGCTAGTTTGCATTTGATTATAGCTTAACTTAAATACTATTTGCCTAATTAGGATCAAATTGAGGCTGAAGTATTCTTAATTGTGTGGGATTTTTCCTCCTCTCTGAGTCAGGACATCTGACTATCTACCTAATTGTTTTCATCTCAATTTTTCATAAAGGAAAACTTGTACACTCAGTCTTTTCTATGACATGTATTCTATGATTAAGTTTTTGACTTGACATTTATATGTAAACTAATTCTCAAAATATTTTCTTTTGTTTGTTTATATTTTTCCTGGATCTGTACCCTCTTCTTTTAGGAATTAATCTTTCTTTGCTAATGCCTTGATATTATTTCTGTTATATTTATTTTCCTCCTTTAAGTCATCTTGGGTTATGAAGCGGTCATTTTAGTTCACAGTAGCTATGATGCTGAGCCATTATTCTTGAGGTGATGAAGCAGCAGTCCTAATGATCTGAATCAAGATCAAGTTCATGATCAGGAATCAAGGTCAAGCTATAAGGTTTGGGTTAGAAATGTAGAGCTGAACCTTGAGCCAAGGTATTTAGTCACAGGAATAAGGCCAAGAATATAAAAGAGCACTCTATTTTGCAAGTCAAGGTTTGGAATACCAGAGGTCAAAAATAAAAGAGTTAGGGAAATAGCCAAGTCTGCTAAACAAAATAAAACCAAGATGCAGAACAATAGCAGGTAGAGTGGTTGAGGTGTTGTGTTTAAACCTCCTTCAAGCTTCTCTTCCTCTTAGGTGGATATGAGTTTGCAGTGTTAATCCCTGATTGGCCCAGCACTTCTTTGTGGAAGGTGCCTGGCAAAACCCTCTCTTCTGAAAAGTTTTAGGTACATTTTGACAGAACTATTGAAAATATTTTACTCATGGAATGTGCAGAAATTGCCCTTTTATTAATTTTATTTTGTAATTTGAACACCTATCACTTAATTTTCTACATTTTAGTTTTTAATGCTTTTAATTGAGTTCTTTAAAAAGTATAACACATAGTTTTTGCTGAAGTAAAATCATTGTTGAAATTGATTTTTGAATCAATTTTTGAATTACATACCCCTTTAAGTGTCCCCATTGACAAAAAAAATTGGGGGAAAAAATGGGACTCTCACTATTGGCTGGCATATTGCAAAAATCATGGGTGCCACTTAGTGGTTAATTTATATTTTCCATTTTTTCTCCTATGTATCAGGTCCTTAGAGTTTTCAGTTTTAACCTACCAGTTCTAATCTGTAAGTAAAAAGCAGAACTACAATTATATTTTCATTTAGATAGGTTGTTTATGATTTCTTACCTTGCTTATTACACTGCTCACCTAAACATTCTTTAGTTATGACATGTGTTGAAAGAGTAGACATAACTAAAAAAGCGAATAAAATAAATACAAAATATTTTATGTAATGAGTGACTGAAAAATAGTGCAGAGGAGGAGGCATCTTGGACAGATAGATGTAGCATCTTGTTTTTTATTCAGACAATTTTTTCTACCCCTATTAAAATTAACTACTAAGCCAATAGGGTTTCATTTTGTGTTTTTGGTAGTAAAATTTTTACCATTGTTTTAAGACTAAATTCTCTTATTTTCTCTCTTTTTTTTTTAAAGTAACTATGATATTTATAATGGTTTTTAGTCTTTTCAGCCCAGGTAATATTTTTTAAAAAATTATTTTTAGCATCAAGTTTAATTTTCTTCTCATATTTTTCATTAGCCACTTCCTTAAATATATCTTCTTGAATGTAATGAATGTAGTTCAGTACCTCCTGAGCTGTCTGGATATTGTAGGGCAGCCTGGCATGTTGATTAAATGGAATGACCTGTCATGCCGAGTAAAACACTTCAATTTCTTTTAAATGCATATTATCGTTACTTAATCACAACTTATTTTCAAAAAGAAGGAAAGATATACATTTAACAAATAAGAATAAATCACTACCAAGGAGAGTAAAAGAAAGATGAGGAAATGAGAACATTTCTTATTTGATTAATTTATCATGACCTAAGCTCAATTCCCTGAGCCCATAATCTATTTCCAGGCAATTAAGAATTTTGGTGAGAATTATAAACATATTGTCTCCCAGTGTACAATTTAGATAGTGTTTTTCAAACTTTACTTTCATAGTAAATAATGCATTTTACAAGGTGATTGAGCATTCAAATACAAATATACATCTTTATATTATGTATGTAAATATACTTATACTTACAAAATAATCCACTTTACTGCATGCTGTGTACTCTCATAGTTTTTATTTTATTTCATCTTTTTTTCATCCCTATCCCCTCTCCTCGCTCCCGCCTCCCCCGCCCCCGCCTTGGCAACCATCAGCTGATTCTCTATAGTTTGTTTATTTTGTTTATTCATTTTTAGTTTTTTTTTTTAGATTCTACATATGAGATCATATGGTATTTGTCTTTCTCTGCCTGACTTATGTCATTTAGCATAATAATAGCCTCTAGGTCCATCCATGTTTTTGCAAATAGCAAGATCTCATTATTTTTTATTGCTGCATAATATTCCTATATATATGTATTTACACACACACACACACACACACACATATGTATAATACATATATACACCACATCTTCTTTATCTGTTCATCCATCTATGGACACCTAGATTGCTTCCGTAGCTTGGCTATTGTAAATAATACTGCAATGAACATAGGGTGCATATATCTTTTTGAGTTAGTGTTTTTGTTTTCTTTGGATATATACGTAGAATGTGAATTGCTGGGTCATATGGCAATTCTATTTTTAATTTTTTTGAAGAATCTCCATACTGTTTTCCATAGTGGGTACACTAATTTACAATTCCCACCAACAGTGTATGAGAGTTCCCTTTTCTCTATGTCCTCGGCAGTACTTTTTATTTGTTGATTTATTGATAACAGTCATTTTAATAGGTGTGAGGTGACATCTTATTGTGGTTTTAATGTGGTTTTGCATTGCCCTGATGATTAATGATGTTGAACATCTTTTCATATGTCTATTGGCCATTTGTATGACCTTTTGGGAGAAATGTCTATTCAGGTACTGTGCCCATTTTTAAATTTGTTTGTTTTTTTGATATTAAGTTATATGAGTTTATATATTTTGGATATTAACTCTTTATTGGACATATCACTTGTTAATATCTTCTCCCATTTAGTAGGTTGTATTTTCATTTTGTTGATAGTTTCCTTCACTGTGCAAAAACTTTTTTAGTTTGAAGTATTTCCATTTGTTTATTTTTTCTTGAGTTTCTCTTGCTTGAGGAGATATATCCAAAAAGATATTGGTAAGAGTGATATCAAAGAGTTTGCTTCCTATGTTTTCTTCTAGTTTTATGGTTTCAGGTCTAACATTTAAGTCTTTAAACCATTTTGAATTTTTTTTTTGATATGGTGTAAGAAAGTAGTCCAGTTTCATTGTTTTGCATATATCTGTCCAATTTTGCCACCATCACTTATTAAAGAGACTGTCTCTACTCTATTGTTTATTCTTTCCTCCTTTGTCATATATGATTGACCATATAAGTTAGGATTCACTTCTGGATTATCGATTCTAGTCCCTTGATCTACATATCTGTATTTATGCCAGTACTATACTATTTTAATTATTGTAAGTTTATAGTATAGTTTGATATCAGGAAGCAAGATACCTCCCACTTTGTTCTTTCTCAGGATTTCTTTGGCTATTTATGGTTCCATATAAATTTTACGATGAGTTGTAATTCAGAGAAGAATGTCATTGGTATTTTTTAGAGATCGTATTGAATCTGTATATTACTTTAGATAGTAAGAACATTTGAACAATGTGAATCCTTCCAATACATGAACAAGGAATACCCTTCTATTTATTCGTATGTTTTTCAATTTCTTTTTCTTCAATATCTTATAGCTTTTGGAGCACAGGTCTTTGAACTCTTTGGTTAAATTTATTCCAAGGTATTTTATACTTTTGATGCAATTGTAAGTGGGATTGTTTTCTTAATTTCTTCTTCTGATCGTTTGTTATTGGCATATAAAAACACAACAGATTTCTGTATGCTGTACATATTGATGCTGTATCCTGCAACTTTACTGTAGTCATTTATTAGTTCTAATAGTTTTTTGGTGGGGTCTTTAGAATTTTCCAAATATAGTATCATGCCATCTGCAAATAGTGAGAATTTTACTTTTTTCTTTCCAATTTGGATGCTTTTTAATTCTTTGTCTTGTCTAATTGCTGTGGCTAGGACTTTCTAGAATATGTTGAATAGAAGTAATACAAGTGGGCATACTTGTCTTGTTCTTGATATTTTATTTCACTTTAAAAAAAATCTACATGTTGATTTCACGACCTCCTGATGGGTTATAAACAGCAGTCTGAAAAATGTTAATTTAGGGGATTAGTCTTCGAAGGTAATAAATAGTTCTTTGATCATTTGTTCACTCAACAGTTTGTATTTTTTGCAAGGCAATGTTTGAAATGTTTCAGTGTACAAAGAGAGTTAGACATAAACCCTGCCCTTAGAATAAATTATCTGTACTTATTTAACCTTAAAGTCCAGTTGGAATAGAGTAAATATACATACATGTGAATTTTTCATTAATTTTCTGTGCTTTTTGGCTCCCGCTTTGATACTGATTATTGCTAGACATATTTGTAGAGATTTTTTGTAACTTGACCTTTTTATCTATCTGTTCATAATCATAAGCAATAATCTGTTTGTGACATTATAACTGTTTCTATGGAAACAACATTCAGTGCCTCACAAAGAAGCAAGAACATTCTAATTTCTTAAAAAAATTGAAACTGATAGTAGTAATAGGGAGAAAGCATCTAAGCAAGAGAAAACAAAAAAGATATTAATTTATATCAGGCGTAATGTTTTCAAATTTTTCTAATTTGAATAAGTGAAAGTACTGTATGATAGTAAAAAGAAACAAACTACTGATAAATGCAGCTACATGGATGAATCTCAAAAACATAATATTAAGTGAAAAAAGATAGACACATTTTATGATTCCATATGTATGAAATTCCAGAAAAGGAAATTCCCCTGGTCAGTTGGTTTCCTGCAACTGACCAGGGGAACAGAGATTGACTGCAAATGGTCACAACGGGACTTTTTGGTGTGTCTTAAGTGTTCTAGTACTGGATTATGGTGGTAGTTGGACAACTGTAAATTTACTAAAACTCATTATTTGAACTATACATTTAAAATGTGTGAATTTATGGTATGTAAAGTTTCTTCGGTATAGCTGTCAAAAACATACAAAAGATATATAATAATATGTTTTGTTCTTTTCCTACCTAGTTAATTATCTGCAAGAAACTTTCTGAAAAGCTGGTGGAATTTCCACTGCTTTCTGCTTGGTACCAGAGGATTCAGGAAGTGCCAAGAGTGAAAACAGCAGCTTCTCAGTGTGGGATCCACTTTCTCCATTTACCAGCGTTGCTGACCTCCTCAAATGAACAGCATTCAAACTTAAATGAGGCCACAGGTGTAGAGGAACAAAACGATCCTTCATTTGTAGGAGGACCGAGACCCACTATGACCAAGTTAATGGTACTTAAATTGTTTTTATTAAAATTTTCTTTAAAAAATTCCATGCGATAATGTTGCTGAGCATTCTACCCCAACTTCTAATCATTTGTTGACATTATTTGTTATAAATTTTATTTGTAGCTATCTTATGTCACTCTGGACCAAATAATATTTCTACTAGCCTTTTGCATTAAAGTGAAGGTAATAAATTGAAGATTTTTAATATTATGTGTCTTTGGAGCCAAATAAATCAGAATATACATTTTTAGATAGTATTTTTCTCAAAACTTTAATTTTTAATATTCAAGACATCAAGATCATGTCTTATCTGGGCAAGTTTACTGTTTTACTTGATGTTTTTCTGTTGCAAGGATTTGGTTTCAAGCTTTTTTTTAAATTTTTAGATGATTTAAACTAAAGAAATATGAAGATGAATACCTCAATTTACTTTCCAAAATTTTTTCTAAATTTAAGATTTCTGAATTCTTTGAATTTTATTTGTACTTTATTCTTTGATTTTAATGCTCTTTTACATAAGAACACATAATTTATAGTTTACTCTCTTTACAGCATAATTTGTTTCTAATAGTACTAATTTTAAAGTTTTCTTTACCATCTAAGGCAATCTACAAAAAAGGTTTTGCTTTTAACTCAGACTATTTGAAGATTTATTTGAATAGAGACTTCATGAAGTAATTTGAGCTATTCATCTGAGTTGTACTGGAAATATATTTATTATATTTCAGTACTTAGGTTAGGAATTATTTGAGTTCTATAGTGAACAGAAAGTTTGTGGGTTTAGAAAAGCACCAGATTTTAGTGCAGACATCAGTCCCTTATTTCTTCAGCTAAGCTTTGTTAGCCTAGTAATGAAACAACGAAACAGAATTATATAGTTGATTTTAGAAACTATCAAGGTGTGTCCAAAGTTTGATGTGCCTTAGTCAGATGGTTACACTTTACAGGGTTCTCTTGTTCACTTCCTGAGTGTTCTTAAATAAATAATCATCAGGAGAGTAATCTGCTTAGTATTTAAATACTCATTTTTACAATTTCAACAAACCAAAAATCTGTGCTTCTAACTTATACACTTTCAGAGTCTTAAAAGAAAGATTAGCCATTCTGATTTTTATACCTATGCTTTTCCGCATAAAATGACATTAGGAAAGACATTTGCATTTTATACATTTAAAAATATTTATAAACAGGAAGATAACAAAATTTTCAATTCAGAAAAAGTTAAACAACTGTAAAAATAAGCCATTTATAATATAAAAACACAAAAGAATTCTGAATTTTTAATTTACAGGGGATTTGTTAGTTCAAGTCTTCCGAAAGCAGACTCCAAGATAAGGTTAGATAAGCAGGAGTTCTACTGAGGAAAATTTCTGTGAGGGAGAGTGTGGAGGGAGCCAGAGGACACTGGGAGAGCCTTCAGCCCATGATGCAGGTTTGACCCCCATGCATGAGATAGGAAAGGAAAGAAGGTTGGGTCAGAAAATTCTTAGACTTAAGTGCAGTTCTAAGACTTAAGTGCAAGCCAGTGGGGAATCCTTGAGCTTGAATCATCTGTCACAGAGTTCCATGTTGCTCAGGAAAGGGTCTGCCTTCATATTGCTGCCACTCTCAGTCACTGACTTGGGAGCAGTCTGTGAGACTGTACGAGGGACTGTGTAAATTCTAGTCTCAGCTTTGTAGCTAAGCTAACATTGTGACTGACCTTCAGTAAGTCATTTAACTAAAAGGCCTTAATTTCTACATTTATAAATTAGGAGAGTATAGTAAACATTCTATATGTTTCACTTCTGATTTTAAATCTTATGATTGTATAAACATTGACTGGGACATTACATTTACAATTTTTAAAAAGGAATGTTCAAATCTGAAAATAAGTTAAAGTTTTCATTTTCATTTAACTCAAACTTGATTGTAGGTACAATAAAATTCCTTATTTTGACAGGACATTGTTTTTGCTACTTAATGTGGATTTCTCTATTGACATATTTTTAAAGACAGTAAACATTATATCAAAATAATATGTGAATATATTAATTTTGTTTATACAATAATTTTTTTATTAAGTTTATTGGGGTAACATTGGTTAATACAATTACATAATTTTCAGGTGTACATTATAATTTGACATCTGTATATTCTATTGTATGTTTACCACCCAAAGTCCAGTTACCTTCAGCTACCATATATTTGATCCCCTTTACCCAAGTCACCCTCCCCCTACCTCCCTATATTTATATACAATAACTTTTTATTTCTGGATAGTCACAGTATTTTGTGCCAATTACATGAAGACACAGGAAATGTAAATGCTAAGTAGAAATATAAAATAGTAAAGTATTTCTTAGAAACACTCACATCTCATCTTTTTTTTTTTTTTTCCTTCTGTAGTCTTTGGCACAATCTTACCTCCACAATTTCTCTTTTTCTCCAGAAATTTTAAATTTGTTTATTTAATCAGTTCAAAAATGTGCATGTGTCTACTAAACACTGGGCATTGGTCTGAGTATTGAATATGTGAAGAACAAATAGGACTACCTTTATGGTGCTTCCATTTCTAGTGGGGGAGGTAAATAAAGAAAAAAAACACAAATATGTAACACATTACGTAATAATAAGTGCTGTAAAAAAATAATATGGGATAAGGGGGTAGAAGTGATCAGGGTAGGAGTCCTTTTTAGGTAGGGTGGTCAGAGAGGCTTATCTGATGAGGTGAACACATTGAGCAAATAACCTGAATGAAATGAAGATTTGGAGGAAGTGTTCTAGGCAGAAGGTTCAGCTAGTAAAAATACCCTGAGCAAATCTGTAGAGACAAAGTGTGTCAGTAGTTGCCTAGGGGAGGGAACTGAGAAGGGAGAATGGAGAGTGTTTGCTAATGGATATGGGACTTCTTTTTTGAGGTGATGAAAATGTTCTCAAATTAGATGTTTATTATGATTGCCCAACTGTGAATATTCTAAAAACAATTGAATTGTATGCTTTAAAGACATCAATTTTATGGCATATAAATGATATCTCGATATAGTTGTATTCTTAAAAAAATCCTGAGGTAGGAATGAATTTGGTGAAATGAAGAATAGCAAGAAGTTCAATATGGCTAGACTTAAAGACAATAGGAGAGTGGTAAATGATGTCAGGGAGACAAATGTATTTGTCTTTCTGGAGGCTAACGAATGCTCTAGACCTCTAGACTTATAGCTATATTTCTACCTCCAACAAAATAATTTCTATACTATTTCCTGTGGGATAAGAATTCAGCTAATTTTCATAATAGAAAGTAATCTCATGAACTAATTAGTACACATAGATTAATGACAGATTCTCAATCTATCATTTTTTTCTTTTGAATAGGATATTTCTGGAGGTAAAAACAAAACAAAACAAAACAAAAACAAACAAACAAACATGAACCATGGATATCTGTTCCGTGGGCTGTGGATCCAGAATGTGATTAGAAGGAGTCTGGGAATCCATGTGTATGCTATTGCCACTGTCGATCAAATAAATAAATGTACAACTTTTAACATGAGAAAGGAGCCTGAGAATTTTCTGATATGTTAAAAAGTGGTCCTTATTCTTGAAAATATTGGGAAACTGTTTGATTAAACCAGAGGAATCCTTCTCTAGAGATTCTGCAGGCACTTACAAAAGACTGGTATGGATGATATTTTTGGACATATGTTGAAGTGGTCCTGTGCTCATAGGTTGCAGCAATTTTCATATATGTAAATGCCGACATTGATAGACATATGCAGAATCAGTTTTTGATTATCTCTGTGTGGATTGCTTCTGTTAAAATTTTTATCAGGTGACTTTTCTCTTTGGCACTCGATATATTACTAGATAGCTATTACTTCTATGTATTTTCAGGTAATAATTTTGAAATATCATTGCTTTTTATTATCTCAGTATAAAAATAAAAGGAAAGTAACTGTGTTGTCAAAAACTCAATATATCATATTTCTTATATAACTAAATATTTTGAGAAAGACTTGATGATTATTGATATTTTTGTTCCTCTTTACTAGTATAGAAAGTAGAAATTTGGTCTTGTAGAAATAACAGGATTTTATTAATTCATTAATTTGGAAAGGGCCTATTTCCTTTTTTAGGAAAAAGGCATTGAAGTGATGTTTTCTCCCCACCCTTGCCCTACTTGGACCCTTGATTGGAACAGTCTTCCTGCAGCAGTGAGCCCAAAGGAAGGTGAGTTGTTTTTTTTCTCCTTTTAAATTTTACTCATAATCTGGATACCCACTTCAAATCATCTTCCAATTCTCTAATTCTCTTTTTGGCTATATTTAATATTCTGATTATCCTATACCATTGAGTTGTCACTTTATTTTTATTATAAAAATTACATAGGTACACATCAGATTGAATATTTCCCACATTTTTCTAACAGTTACTTCATTTATTTTTTTTCTTTGCTGAAGTATTTTGAAGCAAACCCCAGATAACACATCATCCTATAGTACACATAGCTAAAAAAAATTGACATCTTAAATAATCACCATGTCATTATCACACATGATAAAAATTAACAAAAATTCCTTGATCATCTAACAAGCCATCCATAATCATTTCCCCCAATTGTTTAGAATATTATTTGAAGAAAATAAATTTGTAGTTAGGTTTTCAGTTAAATATATTTGTCATTGCTAGAAGTTATATTTGGTTTGTTTGTTTTTGATAATGTTTTCCTTGCTCATGTTTCAATTTCTTCTTTTTATAGTCTATATTTGTTATTTCTAATAGCTGATGTTAATAAAGGTCTAATTCTGCTATTTGTTGTTTCTGTTGACTTTACTCCTGGTTTCTTATTTTCCTGTTAGTTTTGAAATTTTAGATTGTGGATTCATTTTTGTATTCATAAATCTGTGGGACTCTTGTGGGGCTTTGTGGGGTTAGGAGTAAATTCTCATAGAAAGCATTTATATTAGCCTTGTTGAGCATCTCCAGGTATTAGAATTTAAGACCACTAAGCATTATTGTTTCAGCTTGATATTCCTTCAGCTTTTTTGATCAGAAGCTGAGGTTTAAACAGACAAGTTACCTTTTATCATTTTCCTTTGCTGTTTAGTAGACTTTTATTTCAATGCATCTTTTCATATGGAATAGAGGTTTTCAGGTTTTCTGCTTTCATGTGATATTGGTTCCAACTCTTCACCATGCTAGGGATCAAGGACTACTTCTCTTTTTTGTCTTACTGTTAAAGCTTAGATTTCTATTGTTGGCAAATACCCTTTAGGCAGCTGTGGTGTTAGTTCAAGATTATTATACTGCTTCTTAGTTCTCTAACCTCTTTTAAAGGCCTTATGGATTTTCCTTCTTCTCAGAAATCCAGTTAGACCTGTAAAGGATGATTGCTGAATTTCAAGTACCATTTTGGTATTTTTATGTGGAAAACTTTTTTATAGCTCAGTGTTCTATTTCTTTAATTGTTCATGAATGTTTTAGTTTTATACCAACCCAAATATAACTTGATTTTCAAATGCTCTTTGAAATCGTTTGCCTTTCTTTTTCATATTCTCTTCCATGATGCTTCCTAGTATTGCCTGTAGCTCACTAACCAATTCTGTTCTGTCAGTCAAGGGCTTATTAGGATTCTTCCAGAATGGAAGAAGATTATATTGGGCAGTTAAAAACTCTGCTTCAAAGGTATTTTATAAAAATGAAATTAATTTTTTGGTCATTTATTAAATACATAAAAAGTAGTCACTAATGACTTAATGTTTTAATTTTAAATATTTTTTGACATTTTGAAACATTTAGATATATTTATTATACTTATAATTGGATTTTTGTACACTCTGGTTATAGTATAGATTTTGAACAGGTTGAACCTATATGTACTATAGTTTGCTAAATACAACTCAGATTTTTATTAATATTTATCAAGAAATTAAAACAGTTTTATAAATGCCACATGTTTTGCTTTGTCCTTAATTTACTGTAAGGCCAAAATAACATTTTTTATTTATTAATATGAACAATCAATTACCAACTCAGAAATCTGACATTAAGCATTTATATCTGGTTGTTTTACTGGTTTGAAGTACCTATCTAGTAGAGTTTATGGAATATATTACTCATTATATCCTTATAAATGTATTGCTTTGTTTTCATAAATATTATGACAAAGATGGAGCTATCTCAGAAGAGATGCATGGTTTACTCACATTTTATTTACTATTCTTAAAAAGTTTATAGTCTTATTAAACTAAGGCAGAACTGTGCATTTTGATTTTCTGTTTTCAGTTCTGGAAATTTTAATATTGCATGGTAATAGGATTTTTATGAAATAAAATTATTATGTATGGAAGCGTGGAGGTCACTATGAAAGTGTTTCATGACTTGTGTTCTGGTACTTTCCTTCATGGGAGATTGAATTGTAATAAATTATTTTGGACACTTGGTTCATTTGGATGTTCCTGAGACCTATTCTTTATGCTAAATTCATTGAGTTATATCAAGATTGTGGCATATATAATAAAAATCATTCTCTCTACTAACAAAGTCTATATTAAGCCTCATGATGGAGTCTCATATATTTCTTAAGCCTATCTAATTTCCTACCCTCTGTTCTCACCTATTTCTCTTGCCATGTCTTATATACCATTACCCAAACTTCTCACTGTTTTCCTTATACAACCTTTATTTACTATCTCCATACTTTCACTTTTGTTTTTCCTCTAGCCTTGAATGTTATTCTTCCCACTTCCCATCCTTTTGAAATTATACTCATCTTTTAAGCAGCACTCAAATGCTGCTTCCTTCCAAGGAAGCCTTCTGCATAAGCTATGAGTTTGAAACCTGGACTACTAACTAACTAGATAGCCTATAGCTAGATTCTCAACTTCTCTGTGCCTTAATTGCCTCATAGAATACAGATTATAGTGCCTACCTTATGAAATTGTTGATATTATCAATGAATTAATATAGGCACTTAGTAAAGTGCCTACTAAATAGTAAATGTTAAATAATACTAATGTAGTAGTCAGAATTACTCTTGGCACTTTTTAGTAGTCTCTTATGCTTCATTTTTGGTACTTATAGTATGCTTCTCTTACACTGTAATTAATTATATCCATGCTTTCCTTCCCCAATAGACTGAGCTTTTCAAATATAGGACCCCCATGTATAGGTACTCAATACTTTTTTATTAAATTGAATTGAACTGAGACTATAGATCCTTTTTTATCTTCCCAAATTTCTGTTTAAAACAGACAACTTTTAAAATGATTTATCTCTCAAAAAATTTTAAAGGCTAAAATATTGAGATTATTTAGTTTGAAGAAAGAATCGAAGATTTAATGCACATTGTTATTATTATTATATTTTTATGTTCTGTTTGAGACTAGGTTGCAGACATCATGCCTCTACTTCTAAATACTTAACTATCTTCTTTAAGAACAAGGATATTTTCTTACATAGCTATATTACAATTATTAAACCAGGATATTTAATTTGGTACATACTCTATTATCTAATCTACAGTCCAGTAGATTGTAATGCATTTCATTGTCTTATTTCTTAAGACTTCTTTAATTGTTTCCATATTCTTAGATTCAAGTTAGGCATTTTTGGCAGGAACACCACAGAAATGATGTCGTATACTTTTCAGTGCATCATATCAGGAAGCACATTGTGTCGTTTTGGGCCCAGTGATGTTAACTTTAATCTTTTGGTTAAGGCGATGTCTGCCAGGTGTCTCTACTGTAATATTAGTATTTTTATTTATCAAATTAATAAGTAGTTTGTGGGGAGGTATTCGAGACTACATTATAACTTATTTTCAAAATTTCACTCACTAGTTTCACTCACATGAATGCTTCTTGCCTGCAATAGTTGCAAAATGATTTTTCAACTCTGTCATCTTTCTGTATTTATTAGTGTTCATTCTACTGTAAGAAAGTAGAATTTATTTGAAAGTACTATTTGTTCATTTATTATCAGTATCAACTCATGAAGTTTTATTTTATTAAATGAGTTATAACCCATCACTGTCACTACTTATTTCAGTGCTCAAGTTGTCCCAGGTTGTGAGTCCCTTTAGGATGGCTCCTGATTCTTTGAATATGCCCCAATCATTCTATGACCACTTCTTTAATTTCTGGCATATAAAGTTCTACATGCTTATTTTGTCATTTCCCTGCCCCAGCCCTAGGTTCAGATATTTCTCCAAGGAATGCCAGCCAGTTCCTTTTAGTAGAGAATGATATTTAGTAACTAAGATTTGGGTGCTAGGTGTGCTCATTGCTAATGAAGTTTTATTGCTTCTAGATCTTCTCAGCAGAGAAATGAATGTGTAGATAAGTTTATTAATACCTATACATACATAGACAAACACACACACATAATCACTTCAATATCTATTACTACATCTATATACCAATGTCTGTTATCTACATGCATTAAAAAGCATGAGTTTATAATGATATGTGTAATTCCAATTTAACACCACAAGATTCTTCCTAGTTTTTTTAAAATCCAGTATCAGTATTTATCTTTTCCAATGGTAAAATTCATAGTTTCCAACATCACCTATGTATTTTTTATTTATTGAGTCTTACAATATATGAACAGTAATTTCAGGATTACTATACCCTCATCTCTGTGAAAAAAACACACCTAGTAAGTTAAATTCCACATTGTTTGTAGTGATTTTCGTCTTCAAATTAAGGAGATATGGTCAAAGTTCTCGTGAAGATAGCTGTGATCAGAAGGTTCTGTACAAGATAAATTATAAAAAGTGAGGCATGAAAGATTTAAGTTAATATTAATCATGTCGCCTGATAGAAAATCTTCAACCAATATTCTCCTACTATACTGAGAAGATCCAGGCAATTGTATACTCTCCATTACTATTTGTCCTCAAATAACGGTGATTTCCTACTTTAATGAACTAAGATAAATAATGTGTGAGCCTGTGAACTCCCTTTCGTTAAGCTTAGGGGCACCTCTGTTCTAACTCTGTGACATTTTGCCTCCTGAGTATGAGAGAGGAAATAGGTATAGTCTTTTCCCTTAAGACCTAGAACAGAGCTGCCCTTAGCACTCACTCCATGCAATATTTCCCTCTCTATTCTTCAGAAGTTTTTAGGTGGGTGCTTTGTATATTAGGAGTTTCTCCTAGGCCAGAATAACCATGTCAATCATATAGGAGGGAGGAGAGTCAGAATCATGACCTTATTGGAAATAAA